CTGGCCCGGCTTTTCTGCCCCCTCTCCCACTTCGACCGCTCTTTTTTTCGTATTCATTATTTAGGTATCTACCTACGTATAAAGAAAAGGATATTGTTTCATGAGAATGCAAATGGGGATGAAATTCGATACTTTTCAGCAGGGATAATTCCAGAAGAATTTTCTTTCTTGTTGTCTACGTGATGCACAAACTTTTTTGTTTCAAACACGTTAGGTGATTTTTAATGAAAGTTAAGATCAAAGAACGATAAATTATTGATGTCAAAGTTTGGAAACTAAATGATTTAGCATATTTTTCGCATTCATATACATTTTAAGCTAACAAAACCAAGTTAGTTATACATATTATATCATCCCTTGGACTTTTATCGACCAATTATGCAAATACGTTTAGTCGAAAATCCGGCCATTATCATTTATACGTACCTTTCGGTTTCCTTTTCGGTTCATATCTCCGCCGTTTCACGCATTACAAGCGGATTTAATAGCTGCGAAAACCCTTCGGTGGTTTTCCCACGCGATACCACTCTTCTATACGGTTCCCGTTAAACATTGCCTGTCCACGATAAAGACCCTAAACGAAACCAACAGACAATTCCAATACATCTCGTCTAATAAAATAAGTTTAACTACAACGGTGAAGTATTAGAAAACGCTTTCCTTTGACAGACAATCCTATAGTCATCAATATTGCTCCGGAAATAACAGGAACAGACCATTGAAAAAGCTCCATCAATTGATGAAGAAATGTAATCAAAGAAATGAAGGAATTAGTGATTCTCAAGGAAGAGGGATAAAACAAGAGGGATAATTGTTTTTAACAAAAAATGGTTCGATATTTTTAAGATATACAGGTTGTCCCATGACGAATTTAATTTATTCATGTACAAGATATAATATTTCGTGGATGAGATATTTGTATATTAGTATTGCACAGAGTATTTTTGATAACCAACTCTTACAAATTTTCATTAAATAACTAAATTTATTTAATATTATCTTTAGACATCCTGTATCCACAAATAAGAGAATGAAGTTAAATAAATAAATGTGTGTTTATTGTTAAATAAAAATGTACCTACATAATAATTTGAGATTACATTAGTAGGCTATTTAGAAAAACTCATTCAATTTTCATCAAATTAATTAAAATTACCATGTAGGTAATAGTATTAGATATTTTAATTTGTAGTTGCAAATGATTTAACGCAATAATTGATACCATAATCAAATTCTGATGAATTATTTTGACCAACAGCGTAGTGCGTTATTGATCAAAATAATTAATGGGTATTTTAATTATAATACAACCTTTCACTGCAGCAATTACTTATAATAATTATCTACCTATAAAAGTAATTCAAAACGAATCAAAAATACATACATATGTGCATATCTGCAACGAGTTGTGTAATGATAGATATTGATAGTTCAATGTTTATAATTAGATATGCGTAAAGTAAATACTGCAAAATCGAAAATGATTTGTTTGGTAAATCCACGATGTGTTAGTGTAATTTATTACCTAAGCAATATCGAAATTAATGAACAAAATTAGTATTTTAATTAGAGAAACACAGTAACGTTAATGAGAGTGATTTCGCCGTTATTTTTTCGCCGCCAGGAAATTACACGTTAATTACATATCATTAAATATCAAAGTCCCTCTCGTTTTCGTTGTCGGGAGTTTTCCTCCGCTTTTCCGCTCATTAGATAACAAACATCGGTTGTCGAGCGCATTACAAAAGCGATTTCGGCTCGTCTTTATGGTAAACGGACGTTTCGATCATTTTCTAAACCATCGTGCCAATTAATATTCTAGTTTATAGTACTTGTGAATTTATCTATATCCCATCTTTTTCCTCTGTTCGTTATCTTCGTATAAAAATCTACGCTGGTAAGTGTGCGTAACAAAAGCATCTGTTCCCGACTATCAAAATGCCCGAAATAAATCCGAATGTTTTTTTTGTTCCTCCTACTGTTGTTAAGCTGCAGATACACCTAATCAATTGGGTAAATAATCACACCAAGGTAATTCTATTTATAACGGCGGAACGACATTCGAAGTCGACGATAGAATAGAATTTTTTAATGACAAACTACTTAAACAATACGGGCAATATTTTTATAAAAAATTTACTGTGTTAATATGAATTTGCAAATTTACAGAAGGGGATTGGACTACTGGGGATTAGTGCTACATGCATTGGAAAATACAAATAAATTCATGATAAGATAATATTGTAATACAATTTAGCACGGTTTATTAGTTTAATTAGGTAACGTGCAGCTAATATTCATTACCAGTTCATTCTAGAACGCTTTTTAAATATTTTTACTGCAAGCGAAAATGTTAACATAATTAATACATTATACGATCGGCGAATTACACGTTTAGTAAACATTTTTTTTTACTTTAGAGTTGAATTTTTTTACTAAAAGACAATATGTTATCCTAATGATTTAAAGGACGAGAAATATTCTCACGGAAGCTTTAAAATCTTTTGTCTCGTTATTATTTATGTTTGTATATGTGCCCGCAATTATTTTCACGAATGTACACTAATTAAAATTCAATGAAAACTAGTTTTGTTCAAATTTAATTTAATTTCGTATACATGTGTATGTTAAGTACTTAAATTACTTGTAATAGAATATTTACAGAAATATTTTAGATAATTCTAAATTATGTTTCTGTACATGCTTCACATTCTCGAGGCCGCGAATAAAATGTATCTAAGTACAAAAACTTTCACATAATAACAATTAAGAAACAAAATTTGAAAGTGGAAGTTTTATACATAAGAGAGTAGAAGAGAACAAATTTTTAAAGGAAGAATTTTCTGATGTTTTATTTGTCTATACTATTATATTTAATTATTTGCCTCTATATTAATTTCTGGGTTAATTTATTCTTCTATTTAGGATAGATTATTTCTAAATAACTTTAGGTATAATGTACGATATACTTATGTACATGAAAATGACAAGCTGAATTTTTATTCTACTATACTTTAGTAAATTATGTATGACTACAGACTCACATAAACCCTAATCTTATCCTCATCTTATTATAATAGTGGTTATTATAATTTTGCAACAGACTTTGAAAAACATAATTCTTTACAAAAAACATCCATTTAGTACCATTAATAATTTAATGAATTTAATGTACCCGAAAACCAATTAACACGTTTTATTGGATTAGCATACAATTCTGTTCTAAAATTAGGATTAAAAATTGCGTAGATACGGAATAAAATACGTGTATCCCCCTAAAATTGTTACATTGTTTCTGAAAAATGTTAAAACTTCGAAGTAAAAGAGTTAAACAAACTTTATGAAACTCACTTAAAAAACTATTAAACTTGCTTAAACCAACAAGAAATTCGCCTGAATAATCGAATAATTCATTTACATACTATCAAAAACTCATTTAAATGATATGAAAACTTTTTCCTGAAATCTATACCAGTATAACCGAAATTTAGTATCCGTAAAAATGTACTTAAGGGTTACAGGAAATGTGTATACCCTTATCTTAACAAAATATCTTAATATCTCAATTATATTTTAATTTTCGCAGTTAAAGTGTCACGTTTGATTGAGGTTTGCAGAGGTTTCCGTGACCTGTCTGCAGAGTAGGTAGATATTTTAATAATGAGACAAATAATCTACTAAATGAATCTACATATAAAATATAAATTGTAACCCGATATGTAGGTAATGTGTTTTACGCTTTTAGTGTACCATCATTCCATTTTCGTCACTCGGGTTTTATTACAAAATTGAATATTAAAATTAGTTTTTAAAGAGTACGCCCAATTTTTTAGAAAATTCAATAGCTAGATAAAAACATTTATATGTAAATTTGGGACATATTCTCTTCTTTTTTTGCGCTCATATATGTATTTGCCGTTTCTATGTAATTGTGAAATTGTTTGTTATCTAGGTAACTATTATTTTTTATTAGATATTGTATGTGCTTTATTTATCTAATCAATTTTAGTTATCACCACAGAAGCGATTAATATATTCTTATACATGACCTACCTGTAAATTTTAGGGAGACCAAAAATAGGTCGAATCCAACGTTGAAAATTATTACATTGTTCGCCTTGGTTGATAACTGGAAAAAAAACAATTTTTCCATAAAAATTGAAAACAAATTAATTTTCTCGTACAAAGTTCAGTATATTCTTTCCAATAACACCTACAAATTGGCTCAAATAAGGAATTGGTAAGAAACAAAAATACACCCAAGCCAAAAATATTTTTCTTACAAACTTACAATAATTTATTTTTTGTGTTCCATTATTTACATAATATGGAGCAATGGACAACAATTTCATTAAAATTTATACGCTCGCAACAATAATAACACAAGTTATTTATCAAACAAACATTATAAATTACACTTATGAACCTAATGCAAAGCGAATAAACAAATATGCATTCGAATGTTAAATAAGGCAAGAAAATAAATTCAGCGCTTCGCGGTGTTTACAAATCACAAATTATTCGACCCAGGTACTTGCTTGTGCTTAATCTGTCTCAGGTGATCATATAACAACGACATATTAAAATTATTTTTATAATTAAAACATATCGAATTGAATATTCTAAAACACAATATGTAAATCAGCTCATATAAATTTCGGGCAGGTTTTATTAGCGCTCTGAGAACAATATGGGACTGGAAAAAATCCAAATACTGATCTTCAATCGTCTTCCACAATGAATCCTATTTACGACGAGGATTGACAATGAAAAATGCGAATATTATCAAAGCAGTTGGGGAAATATACATGCAGTTATGATTGAAGATAAAATTGCATAATTAAAAAATATATAAATATTATTAGTAAAATAGAAAAAATAGAGAAATAAAAAATTGAGTGCAAGTAAATGGATGTTGAATTTTTTAATTCTAATGAGTAATGAGGAAATATATATTTTTTAGTAAATTTAAAAATAGAAATAAATTAACGGTATTTACCTTATTTTGAAAAAAAATCCTTGCAACGCCTTTGGAGAGCACTGGGCACGAAAACTCCGGGAAGCACCTGTCGGCGTACGATTTCGGTTTTCCGGATAGACCGCGATCTTTTTCCGGGCGATAGAGAGAACGCGCGTCGAGCAAATAACGCCTCGCGACGCCTATCACTGGCTGGTGGCTGGAGGAGCGAAACAACGGACTGGCCCGCTGCCGGTGATGCTGATGCTGGTGCTGCCGCCGCTACTTCCACAGGTGGCGGTCGCGCCGTGTGCGCTTCCGCCCTCGCGCTATTCCGCTCCATTGTTCCTCGTACCAGCGGTTTTGTAATATGTTTCGATTCATACCGTCCTGATAAAATTATCGTTTATTTTGGACAATCGGTTTTTCGATACCTACATGCCTACATGAAACAAATTTAAATTGGTTTTTTTTACTGTATTACGTAACTATTACTATTTGTGTAAAGTTTTCTTATCGAGTTCATATATATAATTTATTGTAAAATATTTTAGCGAAAAATTAAATATTTTATAAAATAATTTATTCAATAAATTTAAAAATGTTCTTCTTATTCTTCATCAAACACATTAATGTCTTTTTATTTAAGGTTATTCAGCCTAATTTTTTAAAATGCTTAAATATTGGCCTGTACTGTAAAGGACACAGGGTACGTCTTTGTTGCACATTTGCGAACAGCTTTTGCTCGAAATATTTATCAAGTGAAGCAAATAAACTTATAATTCCTGCAGACTAATCATGTATCATTGTAGAAAAATAATCAAATTAACAATTAATTTTTACTCACTATTAATTTCTGAACGCATCATTTTCCTGTTGAAAATGACAACTTTGACTTTGACATTTTTGACATCAGCATCAACGTCAAGCGTCAAGTCTTATGTCAAATGTTCCCGTTTTCCGTTTTTAGTTTTTGTGATCACATATTTATAAAAAATAAGCAATTTTTAGCCATGTGTTATGTGTTTCAAAAAAAATTAATTTTACAATTTAAAAAGTAGATATAGAACGTTCGTTAATTCTAATTTCATAAATCCAATTATAATGTCTCTTTCGGTTAAAAATATAGTGAAACTTCCTCAGACTCGATTGGAAGATACATCGTTGGGCGATGCAATTTCTCCAGTAAAAAGTAGTAAGTGCGTTTGTTGTTTTAGGAGATAGCATTACTTACTATAATTTGTAGATTTAGTGCCGATCGGTGGCGTATTATCCAATACTAACTACGTTTGGCAAGCTAAGGGGTCGTGTTTGGAGGTTAGTTGTTCAAAAACCGGACGTAACATCGGCTCTTGTGTATTCGATGGACTTGTAAATGACTCGAATACCCGTATAGTATGCGTCGAGGAACTGCAGAAGCCAAATGGACGATTATTTCTATTGGTCATTGGAATTGAGTGTTCAATCAGCGGTGGACTTATTTGTATTTTCGATGTGTTTCCTTCAGTAATAATTCGATCCATTCATATTAATCAGAAGATCTCCACTCTCCATGTGGTAGATCCCGGAATTGAAAATTTAAATTTACCCGGCCCGTTAAGAAATTTCGATGGCATTTTAGCTGTGGGCACTGATGGAGGGGACGTAATTTTACTTGATATATGTAAGCAATTATGTGAAGAGTCTCTCCATTTACAAACTAAAAAGGACGAACTTAATCCAAGGCAAGTTCTACTTCTTACTGCTAAACATGTTCCTAACATAGAATATTATAAGGAGAAATCAGTTCAGGAAGGAAAACATCTCGGAATACACTTAAATGCTGTTTTCGATAATAAAACAGATCATTTTGTTCTCAAGGGACCTACTGGTAATTATTTTAATACGTTAACCTCAATTTAGCCTCACTCCTTTTTTAATTTTTAGGTAACGATTGCATATTTGTGAATAAGGAAGAAGTTGTTGCGAGTGCTGTATATTATTGCGGTCAACTAACATCTCTTCTTGTGGGATACAATTTTGGGGCCTTCCAGTTATGGGATCTTACATCTCTTAAGTTAATTTATACTTCACCAATATGCGAGGAACACATTCCCGTCACACACTTTGCTTTGCAAGAACCTACCGATGATCCCAGGGCTTTTTGTTACATTTGGGTATCTTACAGGTAGTAACATATTAAATCTGATAATATCACACGTACTATAATTATTTTTGCAGTAATAATGAATCGTTTCAAGCAGGCTTGCCTTTTGCAGTCATGTACGCTCTGTGTTATGATTCCAAAGAATACCATGAAGGATATGGTTATTTGTACCAGGATTTTCAAAATTGTACCATCAGATTTCAGATGGAATTGGGACAAATTGATGCGCACAAGTAATATTGAAAATTATTTTTTGAGTTAGTTTATTTAAAGGTGTGTGTTTTATTACAGAGACGGATTGTTGCCAAAAGGCGGACATTGCTTGGGAATACAATCAATAACGGTACATTCGGCTAATAGGGAATGCTTCTCCAGTTTCATTGCTGGTGATGTGGTGACACTTTGTCTTATTTCGTGGACGTTTTGGTACACGAAAACAGACACCCAAACGTGTATGTTAATCTTTGATCTCAATCAATGGTATAAAGAACAAATGCCATATTTTTCCAAATGGAGCGACTGCAATGACTACATCTTAAGAGTAAACATACGTAGAGAGCTGGCGCTCCAATCCCCACTTATATTAAGTGTAGCAATAGAAGAAAAATCGCTGGAACAATACGTCGGCGTGCAAAAATTGGAAGAACACTTTTGTCCGACGTCTTTTTCGTTCAACTTATGCGTCTTATGCGAAACAGTCGCCGTTTCATTGCGCATGCAAAGTTTGCAGAAGCTTCTCTTAGCGCATATCGAGTCTGCAGGTTCCATGTGCCCCCTAAGACCGACGGAAGTATTCCGACAGGCCGTCTCGATTGGTTTAATCCCACTGTTTGTCGACGTGAAATCGGCAAACGTACTGCACCAGATCGACTTGCAACGGGAAATCATTCTGAGCATCGCCTTGGAACACCAATTGTTCGGTTGGCTGTGCAAGTGCGCATCTGATTGGGCCAACGGCAGTTTTTCAGCGGCCGGGTGTTCGCTGGATTTGTTTCTGAATTGGGCGTTCCAAAGAGTACTCATCCTTAAAAATAATTGCGACCAATTTTGCGTTCTGTTATTCGATAACTCTCAATCCAAATTAGACGCAAACATCAACGTGCTATTCAACAGCTGTAAGATCCAACTCAAAGGATTGCTCATTTTGTACAACTACATCGAAGAGAACCTCGGGAATTTCGTCAATTGCTTGGATTTGATCAGAGAGCAAAGAACGAGATTGGAAATGTTGTGCATTTATTTTGAGGTAAGTTTATTCAAACAACTAAATTGATTTGTTTAATGTAAAAAGTGATTGTAGGTTATTCAATGGCTCGTTAATGTCGGTCTCCTTCCGGAAAGCCGATCGACGAATTATCATCGTAGTGAAAATTCTGAAAGGATTAGCGCTCCTTACCCAGCTCAGGAACTAGCGGAATATTACAACGAAAAACGTGCGGAAAACCAACTGCTCAGCAACGATTATTTCGATTGCAACGATAGCTTGCTGTTTATCGATAACTTGATAAGTAGAAAATGCGGCGGCGTCACATTGCAAACGCAGTGGCAAAAGGACGAGGGGACGGGATTTTATCCGCCGCCTTCGTTGCAATCGCTAGTGAGAACTTACCTGATAGATGGGGCGGATATCAGCCACAAACATTCCTTAATCATTTACTTGTTCCTGGACTTGGCTATGGCTCTGGATCAGAATAAATATTCGTCGGTGGTGACGCATTTAATAAAATTCCCCGCAGTTTTCAAGGTGTCCTCGAGTTTGATCAAAATAACGCAGGCTTTTTGGCATTTGGACCACGGCGATTACGCGACGGCCATGGATCAATTACTGGATCCGTTTGTATTGGGCGAGGATCTTCAAGAATGGCACCACGCTATAGCCATGAAATCGCTTCTGATTAACAAACAATCGACTTACGCATTGCGTTATTTGAGGCAGAGAAAACCGCAAATCTCCGACGAGAAAGACGTTTTGATGGCCATCAGCGTGTTTATGGCGAACGATATGCTCGATGAGGCTTTTTACTTCATCGAACAACACAAAAGCAACAACGAGGTGAAATTGTTGACCCACCTGTTCAAGGAATGCGGAAGAAACGAATCGCTCCACGCGATTTTGTACAAAAGTTTAGATACGGTTCAGGAGAAAACGTTCTTTAAGTACCTGAAATGCGCCCAAATACCCAATTCTAGCGATTTGCAGATCTTCTATCATCTCTTGAGGTCGAGATTTGTCGAAGCTTTCGACGCGCATTCGAGCCAAAAGAATCCTCACGAACGACTCGGCCTCATCGGTCAGAGTCAATCGACGAAAACCGATCAAATTGTTACCATTTTTAAATCAATACTGCCGGATGTTAATAAAAAATTAGTCGAATACGTCAGAAAAGAAAGGTCGAATCTGTGGAAAGAAGGTAATTAAGTTTATACCAATGCACATAACTAGCTAAATTACTTATTTATAGCGCAAAATCCTGAGCCGATGTCCGTGTTTCTCCATGATGCAAACGAGCAAGTGCGATTTAAATCGAGTTTAATTTACGCAGCGTTAGTAAAAGCCAAACACACATTTAACGAGTCTATTAATAACGAATCATTAACCGAGGAAACGCCGTTTTTGAGATCTCCAACTGCCACTAGAGGCAATCGAAGGTAATTAAGAAATTTTATTAAAAAGTATTAGACTACACTAACTTTTTCCAGAACTAGGCACTCTGTAATAACACCTATAATAATTAATGATGATAATGTAGAACCAGATGCGGAAGCATCGCCTTGTAAAAGAATAAAATTAAGCCCTAGATTATCTACAAGCGAATTTAATTCGCCATTGAGGTCAGATGCTCGACAAATTACCCTAACACCTATAATTAAAAGGAAAATCTCATTGGAGGAGCAATCGGCTATGGAACAGTATACACCACATAGCATCCTAAAAGTAAGCTCTTTATCACCAACCGCCGTTCTATCAATGCAAATTTATTCATTTTCAACAGGCAACTAATATAACTCAACAAGAACCTGACGAAACCATCGATCACCACACTAAAACCAATCATCACCAAGAAGTACGCTATCGCCATAGAATAATATATTAATTTTTAAACTTTCTTAATTTCAGAGCAATACAAAAATACAATGTAGATCGTCATATTCAAAGCAACACGTCCAATTCGAAGATTCGGCGGGGCTTTCTTCGTCGCTCAGCGACCAGAGCACCAAACAATTCGACCAGGAAGAGTCTGAAACAGTTCCGCTGGAACAAGTGAACGAAACCAACGACGACAGCGACTCGGTATTTTATTCCCCCAGCGATTCCTACCAGAATTTGAACGGCGAGACCGAAAATAAACCGGAAGAACCGACGCCTGCTTCTGTAGAAGATGTTGAACCCGTCGTGAAGTCGCCGAAGGCCCGAAGAAGTTACAAACGTACGATTTACATGTTTTATACCGGTTGGATTTAAATGGAGATGTTAAATTGTATAGGTTCTGTAGGCAGATAATTGAGTCAATAAGTTACTCCTCTGGATAGTTATGGCTTTTTTAGAAAATCAATTGATTCTCTTTTTTTACCGAATACATAAATAGTTTCCTTAGGAAGATAAACTCTTGGGCAAATAAATGACTCTCATAGATAATTGAATGTGATAAGTAATTGATTCCCTTGGTTTATATTCTCATGGATATCCAACTGTTGGATAATATAATATTCACCCATAATCAAAGCAATTTTTTTATGATTTTCAGGATCTTTGGCAGAGTCTCCTTCGATCCGTTCGAGTCCGAGATTGTCCAAATTGCATTCAGAAAAATCTGACGATGGTCGATCTGGAGAAGTCGAAACGATTAAAGAAACTTCCAGGAGAAGCAGCGATTCGTTTGTGAACGATTCGCCGATAACCAAGCGTAGCGTTACAAGAAGATCTTTGAGTCGCCAAGTATTGGAACGCAATACTTCGAAATTGCTGGAAACGTTAACCCGCGAAGAGAAAACTATTATTGTTAATACAAGCGTAGAATCGAGAAAAATTACCTGTAATGAAAACGAGGAGGTAGAATCATCGGTTACAATGGATGAGTCTTCTGTTGTTGAAATTAACCAGTCTGAATTTTACGAAAAATCGTTCCACTATGACGATAGTACTAAAGAAGAATGTAGTATCCAGAAAGCAGAAGATAATAGTAGCATAAAGACAAGCGGTGAACAAGAATTCTTCAAAGAAGAACAAATAGTAGTAGAAGACTCGGTGTCATGTACTGAAAATAATGAAAACGATTGTATAATGATTGAATCATCAGAAGTAACTTCACTTACTACTTTAACTCCTGTCGCAAACGAAGAAATTGAGGATAATGACGGAAATGAACAATTAACAGATATTTACAATGATCTTGAAGAAAACGATGAAAACGTAGACGATATGTATGACAGCGATGAATCAAGCATACCTGAGTTACAAAAGGCATTCGTTGCCGATCAGTCCGAGGCCGCTGACGCTGTCGTCACCATCAGCGATGATGATGAAGAAGAAAATGACGAATCAACGAGTGAATCCAGAAACTCGGCGTTCAGTAAAACAACAGAAGAAAATACGTGCGACTTTCAAGAAGAAAACAGCGAAAGTTGCGATAGTTTTAACAAAGCTTTCCTGGGAACCCCCTCTAGAGAGTCCCAAAAAACTAACGCACATACAAAAATTGAGGCATGCACCAACACTACACCTCATTCATTAAAATTTACAGCAAATAAAAATACAATTGAAGAACCAGATGTAAAACTGCCGCTAAAACAACCTCCTTCAAACGAAGTATCTACCAACACAACTCGCTCTTTGGCCAAACCCATTGATTCAACTGATGCAGAAGAAGCCTTAGCACAACTTAACTCTGAGGTAACACTACCGATCGGCGAAATGATTGACACCGAAGACATTGAAGATCCTAGCAACCTCCAGCTGTACTTGTACGAATCGTTAACAGGCGAAGAAGAAGATGTTGGTGATGTAACGAGACCCCCCGCGTCTGAAGACACCTCTTCGAACACCACCGAGGGCGAACCCTCCAGAAAAGAAATCGTAACAGCCGAAATTCACGCGACTAACAAGGACGAAGAAAAACCTTCAGTTGAACCTACGAAATCGAATCGACAAAGCAGCGTTATCGATTGCAAAATCGCCGATTACGACGACATTACGCTCGAACGAAAAGTCAAAAGCCCCTCTCCTGAAAAAGTCGTCATCGGTTCGTATTTTATTGACAGCTTTAAGCTAATAATCTATTTCGTTATATTTTTTTTAGTAGCTCGAAGGTCCCGCAGGGCCGCATCGGCTGCGACCGCGCCAACTAGCGAATTTAAAATAGACTGCGACGCCGACGACTCGATGAAACTAATAGACGGCGTTGGAACGAACAAAATTTCAAAGAGCAAAAGCACGGCGAAACCGACTGCTCGTCGTAGGGCCAAATCTTTGTACGACGATACTAGCGATAAATCGGCTGGAAAAAATCGAGCTGCCAAAAGCAAAACGGTAAAAAAAGTCAACAGCGATGCTCAGGAATACGGCACTACTCGGCGATTAACGAGACATCAGGTTGAATTAATTCGATGCGAATAATAACAACGTTCTATTTATTTTACGTTTCAGGCGAGTATTATTAGAGGTATTTCCACCATCCCAGAGGAAAGAATTTCTTTAGACGTTGATGACATCGATCCCATAAATTTGTTAGACAAAGGCTCGTTTGAAGGTAAGCGCATTCTTCTAAAAACGTTTTTGCCCATCTCCAAACTGTACATTTCAATAGGTAAACCGGACCCAGAGGAAACGATGGTCTACGACAGAACATCTCCTTCGACTAGCGCGACTTCCGCACGTAAAACCTCCCTAAGGAATAGGTCCAATTCGGTGGCTTCAGCAGCATCGAACACGCTTTCGCAGAGCCACACTGAGAGATCTAAACGGTCCACGAGGAGTCAAACAAAAAGTCCACCTGCAGGTAGTTGAGTTTTTCTGTTTAATTATCGCTTATTGTATTGCACGCGAACTTTTTAGGAGTATTGACAAGATCGAGGACTTGTTCAGAAAGCAGTTCAGTGGTATCGGAGGTCGCGGAGTCCGCTGTTTCGTCTAAGAGAGCCTCTAAGAGGAAGAGAGGCGCAAACACTGAGAGCGAGGTCTCTACTAGGAGCAGAACGGAGTCGGTTTCTTCTAACAAATCCGGTAAGTTTAAAATAATTATGAATATTTAGATTTTTGCGAGTGATTTTAAGTTAAATTGCATTGTTGCAATTTTTAATATTTTATTTTGATAAAAATCTCTGCTTTAGGTGCTTCAACTAAAAGAGTAACAAGGGCAAGTGGTAAATCTAATTTACCTGATATTGAAGAGGAAAAGGTAGGGTTTTTGTAATCATTTCTGTAGTGAAGGTATTTTAATGCAAGTACGTTTTAGAATAGCGAGTCAGCATCGACAAGTGGAACAAGAAGAAAACCAAAAAAACATAGCTGAAAACTTCTGATAGGTATAGCATAACTTTTATAAGTTCTAATACACATGTTAAAGTGTTTTTTGTACATAAATGGTTAATTTTATTACATTTTTTTATTGGCCTGCAACATTCCATTCACACCAATGATTAAGTTTTGTGAGTCGTAAAAGATGTTAAGCAACAACATTTATAAACATTTTTGCTATATAATTTTACTAATCAACACTTATTAAATTAATAATCTATTCTAAAAATGGTTTATTTAAGCAGTAGCTTTATTTTTTAATATCTGTTGAGCGTCTTTGCGCTTCTTTACATTCCTATCGTGCCTCCTTTTGATCTCTAAAATTTCTTTCATTTCTTCCTTAGCCTCATCCTGTAACAAAACAAAAATGCAGAAACATCATGATATTCATCAGGACTAAATGATATGATTCTTGAAAAATGTGTTTCTCACCGATTGATTCAAACGCAGGACAAGAGCTCTCCTATCGTCAGACATAGGCTGCGAATAAACCATTAGCTGTTTATGCCTTTCCCGTGGACTTACGCCTCTCTCTACAACCAAGACTATTCTCGCCCACTGAAAATTTAGGCACTCCAATTTTACGACCATAGCTCAATTAAACGACGTTTGTTTACCTGTCTTTGCCATTCGTTCCTCGTTTCAGCTATTTTTTGATAAGTATTGCCCATCATAGCGATCAACATGTTGATCAAAAGTATCGCAACTATAGCCATGAATACGACAAATAATATCTAAAACAATCTTTCATTCGTAGTGTATTCCTAGGACACAGTGTATCATGTCCTATGTGGGTATAACTTAAAGAAACCTTGTTATTAAAGGCCCCATTACCTTAGCTTCTATTTCATGTTCGGTCCTCGCGAAGGCGTCATAATAATCGCCGAAATTCGTCAGAGACATCAAGAACATCGCCATGATAGACTCTATGGGCGTTGACATGGGATTCGTCGCCGAATCATCCACATCGTCCGGAGTTAATGGATTATCGAACGATAAAAATATTATGTAATAAGCTGCAAGACAAGCATTAAGAATGCATTTTATTGTCGTGATATACTGGATTACCCTGCGAAAATCCCATCACGAATACCAAGTAAATCGTCGCAAATCTGATTAGGTCGCCCATTACCATCCTGTATATCATCACTACGAACGGACCCACCGTTTTGAAACCCCTAAAATTTGGTTTTAATGGTGTAATATAGAAACTAGATTAATTAAAAGAGGTTTTGAATGTGTTGGTATTGGGCTGGGATGAGTAAAACAAGCAGTATGGTATAAATATTCCATCTAAAAGTTCCATTGCAAGAGAATGGAATAAATGCATTGATACGATTAGATGGAAGAAAATAAGGAATTCGGGAAAAATGTGATATTTCGCAATGAAAGTGTTTGAATAGAGTGTTTGCCTAAGAAATGCTTAGCAAATAGTTGTTCAAAATTGCGCAATCATGCGAGATTAACTTGTCTAAAATTTGGAAGACTAATGAATCGAGCAATAAAAATCCTAAAATCTTTTGTTTGAACTGGAATAGTCGGGGGTTTTGCGTATGAACCTTTTGTTGTTTGATATAAAATATGTATACACGATTGGTGCATTGTTAGTTGGTTTCGTAAACTTACGACAAAATGATCGCAAAAGTTTTATTAACAACTCTTGTTGTAGTAGTAAGTATTCTAATTTTCATAATTAAGTAGAGATTTTTCCCCAGTTTGGTTCCATAAAAAATCCCTTTCTATCTATTATAGCTAGTTGCGGTCAACGCCGAAGGCGACCAACCCATCAGCAACATATACGCAGAAAAACTCCTGCAAGCGCTCCAGCCAAAACCACAAAATGGCCAGGACCCGGCTGAAGCCACCAAGCCCCTCTTAAACTGGTTGAACCAACTAATAGAATCCATCAAAAACCAGAACCCGCCGACCCAAACCAAGGTTCAATTGCCTCAAAACCTCGATGTTCCATCCATAATGTCGAAATTCTCCCGTTCGCTGGACCAGCCGACGGCTCTACAAGACCGAGCCCTGCTTAACATCAAGACTTCTACTCAGCTAAACGAAATTGTCAAGCAAGTAATCGAATTCTTTTTGGTCCATTACGAGGAAATCGTCGGCGCTTGGTTGTTATCACCTGTTAGAACTTTGGCCGATTTGGCGGTCAACTGGCTTTTACCCTGCGGTCTCCAATGCACTTACCTAGCCGAAGATACTGGTACTTATTAAGCGAATGTATACAACAATAAATAATTTCAATAAAATGAAAGTTTAGCAATTCGTATTATTCTTGTTATTTAGGTACTATTATTGCGCTAAGGGATTTGATAACACAACTATTGGGTATTTCTATTAAGGATGAATTGACTGGAGGTTCTCTGTGAATTAGATGTGTATGTAGAAATAAATTCATACCTGCAAAAGAAAAGAAAATATGGTGCCGTTGTGAGCATCACCATAACGGCAATAACGTCTTCCATTTCATCCTGACACGCTATTCGCAACATCGGTATGAACAGCATCAAAATACAAGAGAACAAGAACATTACCCTCGAAGGAGAAGTTTTCTGGAAAATTTATAAACATTCCAAACTTAAGTTTCTTTGCACTTTTACGAAGAGGATTCGTTACTACCAAGTAAATGTTTTTTTTGGGTGAATTTCGTGTGATACTGCGCTCACCAGGTTTTCGAAAAACATCCTCAAGCCCAAGAATCTGGCTTCGCGGACGGCTGAAGCTAAATACAAAAAGGCCCCAATAGATATCGCAATCTCAGCGCTGAATCTGATTTTAGCCTCGAGCGAATCTAGCTGCATTAATCTGCATTCTTCCCTTAAATTATCCCACCACTCTTCCACATCATAATCGTCGTCGATCTCGCCTAAAACTACAAACCCAAATTTACAAACAGCGAAAGAAATAAATACCTTGTGACAAGAAAGTACCCGGAAATTCTGATTTAAATTATCCTGTAGATACTTAATATTTTTAACTAATTTTGCGTTTTATTCCAATTTTCCGCGTACTTTTTTGTCACTGTGTATCACACAGATTACTCTTAGCGGTTCTCGCGGTGTCATTCAGCCGAAGAATCTTGGCAGTGGCGTTTATCGTCCGGTGAGAGGCGGTAACATTGGTGGCGTTTTTGCCTGCAGCCGCCACCTCGGCCGGTCCGGGGCGCAGCGTGAACGCCACCAGAGATATCACGAAGTAGAAGAAAAATGTGAAGAATTGCTGGTAGAATTTGAATTTGACGAAAGTGTTCCATTTGGCGTTCAGCAGGTCGATAAGCAGGCCATCTAACAGCGCCAAATGTTCGTCTTTGTCCTATAAAATGAATTAATGTAATGGAGATTCTCTAGAGCATTGTTGCGTTGAAACTTACGCCAAAAACTACCAGGTTTAAGGCCGATATTTTGCATATGTTGCCAGTTTCAACGTCGATGGTGTCGATTTGTGATAGGGGGTAAGCAGCGCAAGTTATGCTACCTGAAAATATCTTCTTTCAACAACATAATTTACTATTTTTTCGTTTATTTTTTAGCATTAAATAGCTTCCTTAAGTTTAATCTGATTACCTGGTGTCCCATTGAATCATTGTTAGCATAATACAAATAAAATGTGTACAAGTACTTACCTATTTGCCAGTATATTTCTCGTTCCAAATTTAGAATGTGGAAAAACATGTCGGTCCTCCCCAATTTCGCTGCCAGAGTGAGTGGCGTAAGAGTTTGATTATTTCTAATGCCTAAACTAGCTCCTACTTCGTAAGCCATATCGAAATGTTCCTAAAAGATATTAATACTGATAAAATTGTTGATAAGTTCTTCAAGAACAATGAGTTTCTTGCGTTTTCTTTTGCTTCACAAATTCAATTTAGGTGTTCATCCGCAATTGGATACAATTACATACATCTAGAATCTCTTTAAATATCTAAGTACCGATTTCTCCTTGATGACGAGCAAGTGCAAAACGGTGTTACCGTTGGAGTCCTGCGCGTCCGGATCGGCGCCCCTGGCTAAAATCAACCTGAAGCTCTCCTCTTGTCCCAAACAGGCCGCGAACGATAGCGGATACTCGCCCCAATAGACGTACCTGCCAATTAGAACAAACACACATTTCGAGCGGGTATGAGCGATAATCGAAAGATTTACCCTTCGTAATTCGTCTCTTGGCACACGTTGACCCATTCGTGATCGAGCGAGTCATTGCGGGAGAACTTCTGATCCTCGGGGCACATGAAATTCCCGAAGCACCGCTCGGCTATGTTCACGTTAGCGTCTAGCAGGAACCTCACCATGGACGGGTCTTCGTTGACGATGGCTATGTGTAGAACGCTCTCTCCTAAATAAAAAGTACACCATTACTTTAACAGATTAGTGATCGCAGCTACTTTACTATTGCTGCGAATGAGACGTTGGAGGTTTCACGGATTATTTGAAATTAATTTACCGTAATACTCGTCTGACATGTAGACATCGTTGATTAAATTCGGGTAGAATCGCAATAATCGCTTGGCCAGATCGGCGTGTAAAGATGTGGCGTTGAGGAGACAAAGGTGCAGGAGGGTCTCGCCCACTGCGCCCCTGTCTCTTATCCTCCAACAGAGTTGCCGGTATAAATGAGGATCTAAAAAGAGAATCTCGTCATTTCATTTAATCAAAAGAGTCTATTAATCTTCTTTTAAGTCTATTAATTACTGTTTTGATATTCATCCTCGGATATGTTTATTCCTTCGTCGTCGATTTCAAAATCGTCGGGGTTTTCCATCGACTTCAACTGGGGTAACTAAAATAAATTAATACTTTTATAGGTACCTTCATTTTGGCATAAAACCAAAAAAGTACCCGGAAATTCCGATTTAAATAACCTGTACTTATTATTATTTTAACTATTTAACTAATATACAGGGAGTGTAAAGATTGGAACAAATTCGTTGAATGCTTGATTTGTCCATTGGGGAAAAAGTTCTACCGAATTTTCGAAACTACCGAAAATTTGAATAGTAAAATGAGCGCTGCAAAATTAAAAAACTCGATTTTTTCAAAAACTGCGAGGTTTATAGGTATAGAAAACCTTTTTTTCCCCAATGGACAAATCATGCAATCATTTAACAAATTTGTTCCAACCTTTACTACACTCTCACTGTATAACTATTTTAACTTTATTATTTTTTTGACTATTTTAAGTTTCTGTATGTAGGTAACACTGTTCTTACTTAGCATGCAAAAAATTAGAGAGATTTATCAAGCAGTTTGGTTTGGTAGCAGTTGCTTGAATCAGTTCATATCAGTATAGCGCTTTGCGAATTTTGCAATGGACAAAAGTAATGAACAAAGAGTTTGTCTCATATTTCGGATTTTGAACGGAATTTTGTGGGCCGAATCAATGCTAATGCTTAAGGTGTCTGTTTTATCGAAAACTATGGTTTACGAATGGTACAAAACTTTATTTAAAGATAGTCGGAAGATAGCTAAAGACTTGCCTTGTTTCGGACGGTCTTCGACCTCTTCAACCAATCATAACGGCGAGAAAATTAAGGAAATTGAATTCGAAAATTGATTGATTTCTAATCATCACTAATCGAACATGCTCAGCATTGAATTTTTCTCTTTCTGATAGAGCTGAGTTTCCTTCAAAAACATCGACCAGCCGCTTTACTCATCAGATTTAACCATAATTGCCATCAAACAAAAAATTCGCAGAAAAGAAGCTAAAAGCTGTACCAAAAAGGATCTAAAAAATGTTTCGATGGTTGGAAAAGGAGAAGATTCAAGAAAAATTAAAATTGCGTTTTATTCTAAATTCCCAGGTACGTTTTTGTCACAGTATAGTATATGAAAGAGTTGTTTACCAATTTGTGTCTCGCTCGTTCTTTGTTCCTCAAGAGGACCAATTGAGATATTGGGATGTATTTTCCTGCGCCTCTGTTATATAGAAACGGTTCTACCTAAATATGTATATTCATCAGGACTGATAGTAAATATAACAATTTTATTAACAAAACGTTTGATATCTACTCACTTTAGTTTTAATAGCGTGATCGATTTCAGCAAATTGTTTGTTTTGAATCGCTCGTTTCATGAGTTCTACTAAAAGCCCACCGCCTGTAAAGAATTATGTAGAAAGACATGAAACCTTTATCGCATGGATAAATAATGAAATTACCTTTCAAATCGCATAATTTGTAAATGGGTTGTAACGATGCCCCGGCCTGTTTCTTCACACCACTAGTCACGTTACTTTCTGTATTCCCCATTTTTTTCTTTATTTCTTTAAATTATCTCATTTTTTACAGGACGTTTAAGCATATATCAGGGACGGTTTTTTTGAAACAATTCAAACCATTATCGATTAAATAGAGAAGTTTGATCAATACCAATCCTCGAAAAATACAGGGTGCTGATGAAGAAGGTACTCTCGTTTCTTGTGTTTTATTTTATAGAGAAAGAGGAATAGAAAGAGAACTCTTTAAATTTATCAACTTTCTTCAAAGATTTTTCATATCTAAAACTACAATTTCTAGAAATTTAATTCATATTTTATTGGGGAAGCAAAATTTCATTCTTAAACATTTAAATTTACTACTATCTTTTGCAGTTTCGACGATAATTCGAATTTCATTAGTGCCTTATTATTTTTTTGGGTTCCCGTGAGTACAAGTAAATATTGGCCTCCAACTGTATAGCTATAGCAGTAATAGCCACACAAATTGCGGTAAAGATGAAGCACAAGTCGGAAGTAAGCAACACACCAAAAAAAAAAGAAGATTATAAATGAAATATAACCTAACCTTTTTTTTAACCTTACAATCTAATTTTGTCGTAGGTTAGTTTTAGTTTTCTGTTTTTGGTATACCATTTAGACATGAATTCTCTAAAAAGCTTAAATTCCTGTTTATTTAACATTGTAAAATACAACAGAAGTAACCAGTGTCAATTTGTTCAGGTTATCCGTAACTATTCTTCGAGTTCTTTAATATTCCGCAACAGTTCCTCGAGTCTAAATAATGTTGCACCATTAGTTGCAACCGTACAAAAAGTACATTTCAGCAATACAAACCCGGCTTTACAAATTTCAGCCGAATTGGCAAATACTCACGACACCGTATCCTCAATTCCCGTTAAAAAAAAGAGGACAGGAAGGAAGAAGAAGCCCTTAGAGGAAGAGGAAAGGAAACCCGGTTTCTACACTGTCGTTGCTTTTGCCACAGCCGAAGAATACAATTTGGAGAACTTGTTTTTAGGCCTAAAAGCTCAAAATTTATACGATGTGAAACAAATTGAAAACAATGACAACGTTATTCACGCTATACCGAAATACAAAGTCGACGATGAAATTAGGGAGATATTTTTCTTTCGGGATGGTAAGTTATTCTAATACCCTGCAGCACTCGTTCATCTTTAATATCATTGTAACTTTCTAAAGGTAGTGTGGTCATGTGGAATATCACCGACCTAGAAAGCAGCAATATTTTAAAATTCCTGCGACAATTCGAAGAGGATAGTTACTCTCAAAGGCTTGTGCAAACCGAATGCGAAGTAATGAATTACAAGCATCATACAGCTGCAAAGTAAATACATAATAAACTATGCTTTATACAATACATAGCTTAAGGCTTAGGGGATATTATACTATAGGGGATATTTCCAAAGTTCTGGGAATTCTGCTCAGTTTTGCTTTAATTCAGCTTTAATTCAGTACTCTAATAGTATTGGTGATAGACAAGTCTTGACATGTTTATGCAACTATCCAGTAAAACATTGTTCAGTCTGATTCAGTTCAGATTTCAGATGTTTTACATACGTTTTTGTAGCTATGGAAGACGCAGCAAAATTCCAAAGAGTAATAATTTTCTTTTTGTGAAAATTACTCAGCGTTTGCAAGAATATTTGGTGAGTATTTGGTGAAATTACAAAAACAGTGCTTTAAAAACGCGTCAATATCATTCGAACACCTGAATCAGACTAAACAATGTTGCACTGGATAGTTCCATAAACATGCTAAGACCTGTCAGTCATCAACAACAATAGTCCATATTTATAAATATGATGAATTTACCATGACGTTAAAGGTAGAAACAAAAGGTAGGAGGAAAAGATTGTGCTCTAATCTAAAGAAACGCTTCGGATAAATAATGTAAATGGTACAGAGATTAGCGATTTCGTCAAACTAGTCGAAAAGAGTCTAAATGGTTCTAAACAGTTCTAAATAATTCTGGAGCGTTCTAGATTGATCTAAATTTAATTCTAAATGATTCAAGACAATTCTAGTTGACTCTGGAGCGTTCTAAGTTGTTCTAGACAGTTATAAATAAATTTTGGAGCGTTCCAGATTGATCTAGCAGTTACTAGTTGTGTAGTAGCTGAGTAACTACAGAAAAAATTGTGAAAAGTTGCTATGAACCTAGATTCCATTTTTACAAGCAAATCATTTTCTCTTTAAGCAAATACTTCTTTTTATAAATACGGAAATCAAAAAAACCTTTTGCTTTAAAGCAAAATATTATGCTTCTTTTTATAAATACAGCCTAATGCCTATAAGTCCTGCATCATTTTGTTACTAATAAAAATTATGGTTTTTAGTAAACAAAGTTCAGTTTCCAAGGAAGGGAACATTGTTTTTGCACCAATAGAAGATCTGACGTTGCATAAATTCGCGTACTCAAACGGAATGGTGATAAGCGTGAAATTGGGAATATGGGAGGCTTGTTTAGACAAGTACATAAGCGAAATGGAATTTGTCACTGAGGAACTCAAAAGGTGGCAATTTTATCAACTTCCTCGAACTACATTTAATCGTGTCATTTGTTTTTAGGGGTAAAATTAAAATGACGAGAGAAGAAGTGCTGAAGAAACACGGAGAATTATTCGCTCTCAGACATTACTTGAATCTAAGTTCGGATGTTTTGGACACTCCTGATTTCTATTGGGACAATGATCAGTTGGAACATTTGTATAGACAAATGTGCGGATATTTTACTATTAATAAAAGGACTAGAGTAAGCTTATCGTTTTGATAAATAAAATAGACTTGTAATTTGTGCATCGTTATTTTAGGTGATGAACGAAAAATTAAATCATTGTGTAGCTCTCATCGAGCTTTTATCTACGCATTTAAGCACTAAACATAGTACTAAATTGGAATGGACAATTATTGTACTTATAATGGTTGAAGTATTTTTTGAAACTATTCATTACATTGATAGATATGTAAGTAAAAAAAAGTGATAATTTGTCACTTACTACGTTTATTTTACATTAAAATTAATATTTTTTGTTATAGGTGGAAAGGAGAGAAATCAATGAAATGCCACAGAAATTTGAGCAACTTGGAGAATTTTAAAATTTTCTAATAAAAGTCGTTATTTTATTATACTCGCTCATTAAGAATACATGTATAATTTTCTAATTTATCTTTTTCTATATAAATTGTTAGAAAATCTATAATACCAATTAATAAATCATTTCAACTATTTAAATATTAATTGCAATAAATATTTTAAACAAAATCGTTTTTATGCCCAATATAAATAATTCACAGTAAGTTAATTTTTTCGTAGATCTGGCAACGCTGGTAGTGTAATAAAACTAGAACAAGGAACTCTACGGTTACGAGTAACTGTTTTTGTAGAATTTATTTTTCGTCCATCTCTATTACTTCTTCGGCATTTTACAGAACATGCGCATTAAAAGGCGACGTAGTTGGCTGTTTGTAAGTGAGATGGCGCATGGTTTGAAAAGTGAAAGAAAGGCATATGGCGTTCATTTCTATTTTTGCTAACTTTAATAGATTTACGTGCGTTGTAGATAACCGAAGTTAGAAAGCGAATATCTCTTACGAATTAAGCGCGTACACGAGCATTTTCATTGAAAATATTAACACAGAAATTACGTGTTTGTGCCCGTATGTTAAGTTTTTGTTGACGAAATAACGAACTGTGATATTAACATTAGTTGTATATTCCATAGGTTTTTCTTTATACAAGTTTCGATTATTTATTGTATAATTTAGATTAGGATTGTACATCTGACTTTAATTATTAAAAAGTGTAACCAAAGAATTGTGCTATGTCTGTGTCACAGGCGTCAGAAACAGAAAAAATGCAGATGAAGATTTCGAGTGACAAGCAGTCTAAAAATGGTAAGCTTTTTCATTATGTGTTTTTTCTTTGGTTTTCTCTATGCCGCGAATATCGCCTAACGTTTTTCATAACAATTAACTTTCAAACACCTAAATCCATTATTAAGACGTTTGCACATTCTATAATCTATATTATCGAAATTTTTCTTTCTACCTGCGAAATTCTTGCCAAAACAATTCGATATATTCATAATTGAGGTATGCATTTATTTGAAAAATGCTAACGCAAATTTGTCCTACTTTTATCGAGATTAGATTTTTGCTCAGGTACAGGTAACCAAGCATCTATTTTTAAAATACGAAAATATATTTATTGGCATGGTACTCCAACTATGCATGTAAAGGGTACCACATAAAAAATGTCAATGAGGTACTGTTTCTTTTATAAATGTAGCTCTCTTTTACTTTACTTATCAAGGAAATATAACGAGATTACATTTTTTATACGCACAGTTTATATTAAACAATTTGACTCATAATTTATCTAAATCATTCAAATAATTACAAGGTATAATGGCAGATATGATATGATTAAATTAGTAGTACCTCCCATGCACTTCGCTAGTTTTAATTTGATTTTTATTATAACAACTTATTGTTTAAGTGTAATTTCTATAAACATATTAGACTTGTGTCAATGCTTTTTGGTTTTTAATACAGCATGTGATTGTGCAGGTCAAGGGCAACATTAATAACTGTTTGTTCTGCTCACCCCTCTGCAATTTTTTCGTATGTATTGTTCTATTATCTAATGGAAAATGCCATCCAAGCAAACCCATCTGCCTGAATTGAATTTAATTTAGAAAAAAACATAATCTGGGGAGTGCAAAATTTAAATGTACACAATTATATTCCTTCAATTGGTGTAGGTATGCTTAAATAGTCATTAATATCTGGTCAGCTAACAGAACTTTTTATACCCTAAAGATGGAGTATAAAGTGTCTTATAGTTTTTGAGATTAATGCAATTTTTCATGAGTTAAAACTTATTAGGTAAATTTTAACTTTTTCTACTTTTATTGCACATAATCGGTTCATTCATTTACTGTTGATAAACATAATTTCGAACTTTATCAGTTACATACGTTGTAAATTGTACTTATGTTGTATATGATATAAAAATATTTCCGAAATATTTTTAAAGTTCAAATGCGGCTGAATATGTAATAAGATTGAATGTAACTTTTCTGATGGGCCTTAGTATGTTCTATCAAAAGGCCAAAGGTTATCTGCAATTTATGAAACTATATAACTGAATAATAGCAGTTTATAAGAGTTACCAGATGATGAGTAAAAACAACAAATAAAGAATTGTTTTCTCCAGGAACAGTTTTTTGAACTAGGTAATTGGCTTTTGTATTATGTATGTTAATCGTAGTTTGCATTTTTGCAAGGCTACTATTTGACTTTAATTTCTCTCTTTGGCTTATTTTATGCTCAATTAAGTTTTCTTGAGTTTTAGCTATCCTTTAAATATTATTTTAGTGTATTTAAAATCATGTAGTAGGTAATATTTGTTGGAGTTATTTATTTTTTCCAAATAGTATATCTATCGATTTTGTTGTCGACTAGTTTTTGCGGCTTTTTTAGTGGAGCCTCTTTGATAAATATTGCTTAAAATTAATATTTCATTGTGTTTGTAGGATCGTTCACGATAAACGTTTTTGAAATTGTCTCGTGAAAATTTTTCTACTGCGATTAAACAGTTGTTTTAAATGTGCTGTGATTTTTTTTATTCGTAAGATTAGTTGCATTTTATTGACTGCTATTATATCTGTAATAATTTTTTTCTTGATAAAAAATATTTCGACCACGTGTAAGAATTTTTGCTCTCGAATTTCCCCGTTCTCTTTTTTCGATATGGCTAAAACTAAGAAACTCCAAAAAAATTCCCCCAAATCCAATTACGCCGTTCAGAAGAAACTGCATAATCGAAAGGCGAAAAGTGTCTCTTGGAGTAAGTAAAAAAAGAACTTGATGATTTTCGTATTTTTTTCATAAGAAAAGAATACTGGATTTAAAATAAAGAGATATTTTATAACAGTAGATTGGAGTTTATGTTGGGTTGGCAAATTTTTTAAATGCATGATTATGAAAATGAATTTTTAATTTTTTAGGAGACGAGCAAGTGGAAGGGATGAGTTTATCGGATGCGCCTAATGATGATTTTACCGACCCCGCCATATTGGTTATACGAGAAAACGTGAAAATCGTTTATTCCAAGGAGCAACTTTTGAAGCTACGAGAGGCTCCGCTCTCTAAGAAAAGGCCTGATATTATCGACACTTCCGAAGCAGCGTAAGTAATTGCAAAAAATCAATTTTGTATATTGGAAAGTTTTGTGCAAATTTTCAGCGCAATGACTTATATTTTGATAATTTTATCAACATAGATTTTAATCAGGATATCTTAATTGTGTGTTTTAAATGTTTTTATGGCAGGCAACGATACAGAAATAATCAGTAGGTTTGGCCTTAAAACTCTAAATAACTCTGGTTATGAAACAATCATTTTATTCCCACTGGAAAATAAATATCGCCGATAGATATTCCAGTGTTCCAATGGTGGCTGTAGCATTTTTTTCGAATGACGTCAATACCTGACAATTCCAACGTTGATAAGTAAAAATACGATTTAATTATACATATTGATTAATCACGTACAAATTGAATAATCGTCTATAGTGCATCTTATCTTCCTAATGAAAAATAGCATGATAAATTAATTATAACAAATTCAAACGCTAATTCTGATGGGAATACAAATTTATATTACTTATATGAATCATCCTATTCATTTCATTAGATATTTATTTATCTAATTTCATTTAATAAAGACTTGTTTTAGATATCAATTTTCACAAAGGAGCACAATATTTCGAGTTTACCATACAAATTTATATGTAATTTTAGTTTCTTCTGGAAGAAAGAAACAATACAATGCTATAGCATTTCATTAGAATTGTTTTATTTTTTTCATTCCAGGTCAGCTTTGTTCTTCGACGCGGAGAAATGGGGGCACGAGCGCAAAGTGTCCGACACTACTCCCGTCGAAAACGGACCGCGTTCGAGCGCCGAGGGACCGTCGGAGCAGAGGCGAAGGCCCGGCGATCCGCGGGTGCGTTTACGCAAAGAAAACGACGGCATCGTCCTGTCGCCGCAGCGGCGCAGCTTCAAATCCGGCTGTTTCGTGCTCGTGCGAGGCGACACCACCGCCACCACCCGTACTAATCGAGCGCACAGCCCGCTCGGCCCGAAGAACGAAACTCCTCACATGGGTACGTAGAAACACTACCCGAAAACTATCCCAATCAACCGGGTCCTATTAATTTTTAGGCATACGAGAGATACAGCCGACTACGAGGCGCATTGGCAGCGGCAGGATCCTCAGGGACTCGTGGGAGTACAATGACAAACTCGATTCTGGCGACAACGATTACAATTACCGAGGTCAACAACGTAACAATAACAACGATCGAGACGATAAGTTCAATGAGAAATTCGAGCGAAGAAGTTTCGGCAGAGATTTCGACATATCCAGGGACAGGGAGAACAACAACAAGGAATCGCGAAGGCCTAAAGGTTTCGATCGGAGGAGGATCGATAGTCGGGAGATCGAGGAACCCGAATGGTAAAACTTCGACGAGTCGACGAATAAAAACGATATAGTATATTTGTTTGTATTATAGGTTTTCTGGCGGTCCGCTTTCTCAAAACGACACGATCGAATTGCGCGGCTTCGACGACGACAAACCCGGCAGGAAGAAGCTGAGCCCGATCAGCGCGAAAGGCAACAAGGACGGCAAGAAGAAAACCGAAACGAAAACGTCTCAGTCGCACAAGAAGAGCGAATGCGAAAACAACGAGCAATCGGAGCCGAAGGAAAAGCCTGCAACCGCCCTGCAGGTCGGGGACAAGAAAAACGAGACCGACAAAAAAGCCGATGGAGACGCTACAGATGACGCATCCGACAATAATCTTGACACTGAAAAGACTGAAGATGATGGCAAGGCCAATGCGCTAGCTGACGAACATTCGTTCAATTTCGAGGATATTTTGAAGTGCGATACCATCCCTGGATTGCTAACGGTAATTAGATTATGTAGAGTACAAACAAAGCTCTTTCTATGGCCCGGTTGTAGATGTCACAGGTGAACGTTAGTTCAACTAAACTGCGAGTCAACTTTGAACCGAGTTCATTTTGGTTTTTGTTGTAGAGTGCAATATTAACATTAGTTTGGTTGAACACCGTTCAGGTCACGTTGGTTGCACTGAACTCTGTTGTTCATCAGAAATATAATGTCCCGTGCCAAACTTTCCAATTTATATTTCAACAATGACAGATGATTGACAGTATTGTTTCACTTTTGATATTTCGTATTTCGTTTATTTTAAATTATTTAGACTGGAACTATCGAAATCTACATTTAAATTCAATATCGGACCATATTTTAAAATGACTGGGTCTATTTCTGAAGGTTCATTTTTCTAATAATACGTTCATTTTGCATTGCATAATAAATTATAGATCAATCTCACTTTTTGGGGTTAATAACTCAACGTCAAATGTCAAAACGAAAACCTTCTTGAACTGCCTTTGAACACTCTTCAAGGACCGTGCCTATATACTCCTTTTGGAATCACAGATCAATAGTGACTGACGTATTTACAACAGAAATTTGTAATTAAACACAGTTCATCGTAGAACCACAGTTGAACTATGCACTTACAACCGGGCCTATGTATTAAAATCGTACAAAATCGAGTTTACTCATTTATCGTCATGTTGTAGAATGGTGTCGGTGTTGATGGCGACAACACGAAGTCTCGCTTCAGCCGCTGGTTCAAGCAGGACAGCCCCGAAAAGCCGGATAGCCGGCGTTCGTCCTTGCACGACGACCATCACATTATAAAAAATCTCCTGAAGGAAATCGGCGAGACCAACGTACAAATACCGGGCGATTCGAACGCCTATTTCGCGCCGATTTCGCCCGCCGCCAATACGCAGAGCGCCGGCGGCGGCAAACGCGATTTCCAGCAGAGCTCGCAATCCATCAATATCATGGAGATGCTGCAGAGGGGCAAGCAACTCGGCAACGAGGCGATGAAACCGCTGCAAGGGAAGATACTGAGTTTGGACGAGCTCGAGACTAAAATTAGGCAAAACGCGAAGACTTCCAGCGGAATGGGCCAGAAACCTCAGGCGAAACCCGACGAGGATATGGCCGCTTTCAAAAAACTGGTACGAATTTATTGTAAACGAATTTATTATAGTTCGCGCATTAAACAATACTGTTTTAGTTGGAACAAGCACAAATTGGAGGTCACGCCGCATCCATGAACGCTTCGATGAATAAAGGCCAACCCATGAGTTTGTTAGAAGTAAGCTAGCGATATTATCTCTTAATTAAGAAACAATAGGAAATGCATTCTTCGGTTTTCTTTCGTAGATGTTGAATCATTCTCAACAGCAAGACGAGGCCGCCCGATTATCCGGCGCGCACGGTTCCTCCAACTCGAATATTGGTGGCGGTGTCCACCAGCCGCACGTAATGAATGATCTCACTATGAAGCTGCAACAGGCGCAACTCCAACAGCAAAAACAAATGGAAATGCTTAATAAATTGATCAACGCCACGACCTCCGTGCATCCGCAGCAAATGAGGACCTCTCCGCTGCACGATTTGGTCGTACAACAAAGCAGGGAATTGCTGAACAGACCGGAGGCTCAAGCTATTCTACAAGGTAGGGGTCGTTTTTGGAATTTACTTATACTGGGGCTCAATTCTCGACTTATCGTGAAAAGATTCACATGTGAAATAATTCCACTACATTTATTCACGTGCTTGATTGACATAGTATTCTTGGTTATAGTGGAATATATTTTCACATGAATTATTAATCTATATTTAATCTATATTAATTTTGTTTCATCTTTATGTTTTGTTACTATATGAGTACTATACTATTTGTATACTATAATACCTAGATTCTATTATCTCTAGATATACAGAGTTGGGCAAAAGTCCGGAATAAAATTATTATCTTTTGAACCAGTAATTTAAACAAAAAACGCCGAAACACGTAAATTGATTTTATATTGAACGGATTTGTTGCCAATAAAATGATTTTTTTTTCTTAAACCCCTTAGTTGCAACCCTACCCAACTTTATTTTTTCAAATGCAAAGGTATGTCGTGTGTAGGGTCATTGAAAAGCCCTTGCAAAATGGAATCTAAAACATACCTTTTTTTTATTTTTCTCATGTTGTTGTTTGGAAATGAGCAAAAAATTCTTTTAAAAACAAATTTGTTACAAATACTTTTTTAGTGGTATCGACGTGTGAATTTAGGCTTACTCTACTTAACAGGCTCCAAGGCAATGGTAAAACCTAATATCGGTAGCCTATCTTTAATTCTGAATGAACTTTTATTAAAAGCAGGCGAGCCTGGTCAGGCAGCACACCAAATTTTATTGATTTTCCGTTTAAAACTGATAAGGCAACTTAGCATCAACATTCGTTTAAATTTATGTTTTAAGAAAAAACAAAAACATAAAATGGGTTTAAATCTAAGCCATTGTTGATCAGTGAACTTCAAAAAGGAAAATAGGTGTTGCATTTTTGTACAAGTTTTTTTTTACCAAAGGTTCCCCTGTTTTTATTAAAAAGTCATTCAGAATTAAAGATATGCTATCGATATTAGGTTTTACCATTGCCTTGGAGCCTGTTAAGTAGAGTAAGCCTTAATTCGCACGTCGATACCACTAAAAAAGTATTTGTAACATATTTGTTTTTAAAAGATTTTTTTGCTCATTTCCAAATAACAACATGAGAAAAATAAAAAAAAAGGTATGTTTTAGATTCCATTTTGCAAGGGCTTTTCAATGACCCTACACACGACATACCTTTGCATTTGAAAAAATAAAGTTGGGTAGGGTTGCAACTAAGGGGTTGAAGAAAAAAAAATCATTTGATTGGCAACAAATCCGTCCAATATAAAATCAATTTACGTGTTTCGGCGTTTTTTGTTTAAATTACTGGTTTAACAGATAATAATTTTATTCCGGACTTTTGCCCAACCCTGTATGAAGCTCAAAAACAATTATTAATTAATAGTGGCTCTAAGGGGCTTTCAAGTTCTCGAAAAGATTTGATAGTACTTCTTTGTATAGCCCGAATAACGCTATAAATTATTTATAACTTAAATCTCGGCCTCTTCTAACATTCCTAAATTAAGAAGAGCTGCTTCTTCCATATTTAAGTTTATCAAAAAACAATATAACAAATAGCGACAGAACTAGACACAACCACAATTGCGCAAAGTCATTTCAGTAATTTATGTGAAAACATTCACGTGATTTTGTTGAGAATACCAATTTTTAATTCACATGCCAAAATTTTTTATTTCCATGTGAATAAATGTCGAGAATTGAGCCCATGGTTTTTGGGTTTCGAGATCGGGAAGAGATTTTCTTTTATTTTTATTTTTCCAAAAAAAAATCATTTCTATATTGTTATTATTTGTATTACATTTTTGTGGTTTTATGCATGTTTTTAAAAATAATTTAAATTGCCGCACGAAGGTTTAAAACGCGGTGAAATTACGACCCAACACCTCTATCAGCAATTGGCCAATCCGGCCTTGCAGCCGCGCCACCGGGAAATGTTGATGACCATCTTGAAAGTGAACGGTGGCGGCAGCTTCGGCCCCAGTCCGAGGGTGCTGAGTCCGGTGCCGCCGCACCACATGTATCAGCAACAACAACAGCAACAATTGCGGGTGTCGCCGCTTCCGCCCAACGGTGAGTTGATGGACTTCTGTTGATCCACCCCCCGTCACTGCATTCTGTGCAAGTAGCCGCTCTCACATTTCGTACGCTTCCGTCATGGGAAATTAACGCATTGGGATTCGCCTTCGCTCGTCTTTCGCTTTGTTTGCTTTATTTACACGTTCATCTAGCTTGTAATTTAGGTATTGTGCTTCACCGATTCATCGTTTTTCTTTTCTAACCTGGTAGATAATGCATGGACATAATATTTAGTTGTATTTTGTAAATGTTTCATGCAGCATATTGCGTGTCTCCGATATTGGCGACAAGTCCAAACACATTGACAGTACCCGGTGAGTGGTGTATTGATTGTTTCTCTCTCATCCTTTCTGGCTTCACTAGTGGTTACAATAAACGTATTGACATGTGATGTTTTTTTCTTACCTAGCCATACACCAGAGGATTCCATCGCCAAGGGAATTGCAAGTTCATACGCAGGGAATTTTGCAAAGGGCGCTGATCAAGAAGAAGCTCGAAGAGCAGCAGGAGAATTACCGCAAGAAGCAAGAAATGCAAAGAGGACAAAGTCCGAGTAGCGTTACGAGCCAAGGTGTACCAAAAAACGTTACGTCTCCTACGCCTCTGGCCTTTACACCAACTTCAGTATTAAGAAAAATGACGGCCGACAAAGACGAAGGTACACTATTTAGATTCGTTTTTTTTATTGCAAATTTTAATGTTGATTTTTGTCGATTTTAGGTAAAGAGAATAAAATGATTGAAGGCAAAGTCCCACAGGGTCGAGCTTTGACAGGAATGAGATCTCAACACACTCAACCTCAAGTTCAACAATGGAACCCAAGCGGACAGTACATGTCCAACAAACATCCAGGTACGAGTAAGTGAAGTCGCAAATATTTTCAAATTTTTTATCGCTCAAAATATATTTTTAAACGTTCTTATTCTAATCTAGGCCGTCCAATTGTCAAAGCGAATAATAATATGCCTATTCAAGAGCAATTCTTTGGACAACAGTCTTCTCAACAACAACATTCGTCACAACAACAGCAAAGGGCTCAACAACAACAACAGTTGGTTTTCCAACAACAACAACAGCGCAAATCAATGGGTGGCACCCAATATCATTCCGGCCAAGGTGTCCCCCAATCTCAGTACAATGCTCAACAATACTCAACTAACCAACAATTTACCCCACAGCAATTAAGGGCGCAACATCAACACCGCCCTGCCAACCAACAATCTCAAACCAATGTACAACCGCAACAACAGCATTCTTTCCAGCAACCGCAAAACAATCAGCAACACATGGGAGGCGGAACTTGGCAACAGTTCTTCAATAATGCACAACAAGGTCAGTAATGTCTCCTTAGATCTTCTGCAAAATGCAAAATGCCGGTTCATACAGTATGTTTGAAAAAGTTGGCAACATATGGGAAACTTTTTTTATTTTAAGTTTTACGAAAAAAAAAGTTATTCTTTTTGACAATCTCTGCTTTCAAAAGTAATAATATTTAGGTATTTACATTTGGGATATTTTGACCACTTTAATTTCAACTTAAATTTTGCAAATTTTAATTGTGAAACACGTCAACTTTTATCTTACAAGTCAACACATCTCAAATGTTCATTTGTTGTTTTGAAATATTTTAGCAATGAACTTAAATCGGTAATAAATAAGTAATACCCAACAGAATAATGTAATTTCTACGGTAATACACAAAAATAAACGAAATAATTTAAAATGTAGGTGGCTCTGACAATGGCATTTCTCTTACCGAAAGTCGGTCTAGTAAAAGCATTCGAGAAATAAATAATACATTCCATTTAGTTAGTGTGCATTGAAACTGAAATGTAATTGTAACTAATGTAACCAAAATTGAAAACGTCAGTAACTGTACTTCAAGAAGTAGCAAAAATGCATATTAAAACTTAATTTTCTATTTTGAACAACTTCATAATTACAGTTTTCGATATTGTAATAAATAAAGGAAAACGATTTAAAAATTTGACATCTGACATTTGCGTTTTACTTTATTGGCCATGCAGAACTTTTTATAAAAAATAATTTTTTTTCGTAACATTACAAATAAAAAAGTTTCCCATATGTTGCCAACTTTCAGATATACTGTATATGATTCGCCCTGGTATAGTATTTTACTAATTAATTCTCTCTTTATATGTTAGATAAATATTGGTAATTGAACGGTATTTCCAGGTACACGAAATTCAAAAACAAGCCTAGATATGGAGGGGAGTCGCTTGAACTCTTCGAATGCATCTTCGACGACAGTCAACCAACTGTCCCGCTGGTTTTCGCCCGATTTATTGGAGCGCGCCAGAGGCGGCGAATTACCAAGTACCGCCGGTATCTCCCAACGCGTTCTCAGCCTCGAAGAAATCGAACGACAAACGGCGCCCCCCGTCCATAACTAATTTTACTATTTATATATTTTTTTTTCATTTGTTTCGCTCTTATTGGGAGAAATTGTTGGGGGCAAATTGGGAGGGAAATGAAATGGTAAGTGTTTAATGACGTGCTTCTTTTATACATGTGATGTAATTTTAAGGACAAAAAATATATAAAAAACTATTTGGTAAAATTTGTTTTTATTGAAATGGTTTGAATTGGAATTTTAAACGGTGCTCGATTGAGAAGATGTACAAGTTCAGTACAATAATACATTAGTGATAAATAATGATTGATTAATAGACAGTCAATTAAATGACGGATTATATAAGTACAAATTAATCTAGCACCGTTTTTTTGTGAGCTTAAGATACTATATAATTTTGTATTTATTTTAGGTTAAAACTGAGCCAGCGACTTAAGCTTTAGTAAACGTTCTTTGTCTGATTACTATTCAGCCGTCTTTAAAAAAGCCCGTTTGTCAATTTTATTAAAGAGAAATATCATTGAAATGTCCTTACCCAAATAATAAAATTGTAACATTTTGTAAATAAGCAAAAAAGTTACATATTACATTGTGATAGAATTATTTAGTTAATGAATTTACGAAAAAAAGCATATTCTTATGTTCATTTTAATCAGTTTGATTAACGTCTATTTGTCTCCTACGCCATTTGTGAAAAAATTAACAGCGGGTTGTTCCATTACTATTTAGCATGTGAGTGTCGATTGAACGAAAATAGGGTTAAATTGGGTTACGAGAATATCGATTTTTATTTTTTAAAATGCGAATTTTTATTTTTGTTATTGTGTGAGAGCAACGTTTTTGTTTTGTTTTGGTGTTTTATCTATCTAAAGTAATGGCAACAACTACCCAATTTTACAGATATATCATTTACGTCAACATGTTTTTCTTTAATGTTTAAGAACTGATACTTTTGTGTTCTAGTTTTTTTTAACATGATATTTCTTCGATGTTGTAAACCTATTGAAAATGAAATGGATCAATCTTGTGCGCAAAACAGAGAAATTGACACATGTCGAAGGGTTATGGTTCGAAGAAATATCAATAAATAACATTCCTACTGTTTATTTATACGTAATATTGTCGGGAGGAACAACTTTTCAAATTATGTATTACATCATTCTTCTAAAAACTCTACGGGCTTCTTTGACTATGCATTACATTAGTGCCTTATTTGGTTAATCGGTAGTTTTGTAGCTTTAAAAATGATTACTAAAATGTTAAATTCGCGATCTTAATGAACAAAATGTGTAGAGATTGATTTATAAACTTGAATTTCAATTAGTTATTCCAGATGCATTAGCTTGGTTTTTTTGATACATATTAATACTGGAATAAATAATAATCACTTTGTTATATTGCATTTTTTTTTTATTTATTTATTTAATGACAGTATTACGTACTTTTAATTTAGCTGGGAACTACCGTGTGTGGCTATCCTACCGATTTACTAAAGTAGCTTTCGAAAAAGATTGTTGATTTAACTACACAGTGCAAATTTGTTAACTTGAATCGATGAAATTTGCTTTTTCGAATGGCCTGCGGTATTTGTTGAGTTGTTGCCTCTCTGACGTTGGAAAATTGATGAAAATTTATTTAATTCAATGCCAAATAAACATTGTTGCAACTAGGTATTTCTTTCTGTAAAAATTTCTTAAAGAAATAATTTTGTATATACGAAGACGTCATGTTAAAATTGACAAAATTTTGTTTTGAAAAATAATTAAATGAGCAAGAACAAATGTTTGTAATTGAATGTATATTCCATTTTCCCTTCTATCCTTTCAATTTGGACTTTTTGGTACCTTCGTATGATATTTATTGCCAATATTTTCAAAAATGGCAAGATTTATACTAATTGAATTTTTCTCAAGACTTGCCTTAGAATAAAGATATATTTTCCAGAAAATGTTTTCTCTTTAATAATTAAAATACTAATTATTCTTGATTCATGATTTATTGAAATTGCTTGATTCGTTAATAATGCAAGTATCGGATATTCTCGGTAAGTGTATTCCCAAAGGATACAGTGACCAAAACCCGATAAGTTGAAGTCACTATTAAAATTTTATTAAGAATAAGAAGAAACATATAACCTCCAATATAAGAAATTGTGCCAGTACCTGTCCAAAGTAATTTAATATCACAGAAAAAGCAAATGTTTAGCATTTATTAATAATTATAATCAAAAATGAATTTACCTGCTTTAATCTCGAAGAGGTAATTATTATCATTAACTCTCAACATTATCTAACCATACATTTTATAGGCCTCCTGCCTACTTCTATGCTTCTCTGAACGTTTTGCGACGCAGTCTAAGTCAAGCTGCCGATGAGGAAAGAATCGAGATCCCTAAAAGAATACACAGAGGCCCCACGGATATATTAAAAGCCTTAGAAAAAACTATTAGCAGGGATCCAACGGCTGCTCATTACAAATACCATGACGATCCTTACTTAATACCAATGTCAAATATAGGCAAGTAAACTTGTTAATTAATTCATAAAGGCCTAGACAAAATAATCTATCACAGGTAAACGTACATTCGCCATGGCTCAGGAATCCGGACGGAAATCAGCCCATTGGATCAGAAAGGAACACGCTGATCTCTTCAACCATAAAGAAGCTGATCCCGCAATTCCTTCATTCTTCCCCAAACTAGTTTATAACGAAAACAGTCAAGTAACCATTGAAGATTTAACTAAAGCAATAGAAGAGCACAGAGTACAGGACGCTCAATTCATCTACAATTTATTGAAAAAAAGTGAACAAGAAGTTAACGATAAGTTAAAACAAATGTTGCTAGAACTCGTTTGTTACTTCAATTGCGATGACAGCATCGATGAAGAATTCATCGAAGAGCGCTGGTTTAAACAGAGTTCGAATTTAAAGGATCGCATGCGGAAGACATGGAAGTAAGTTATATTATTATTATTTCCCCCATACCAATCTCTATGTCCTATATCCATATTAGGGAAGAAATAGACCCTGTATTTTTGTCATCGTTTTTTCTATTATATTTATGGTGTCGTTGCTATTTGTTAGAGATGGCAGTTTTGCCGAAGAACTCTTCCAATCCGTTACCAATCCAACGGCTGATACGTATTCCGCCATTATACAGGGCATGAATAAATACTTCCAAGCTGATAGAGCCTGGAAGCTGTTCGAAGAAAGCCAAGCTAAAGGACTCGTTCTTACCACGGACGCTTACAATTCCTTGATACGAGTGACGAACTTCCTGAAGGAGAGCGCCGACAAAAGATTGGACTTCATCACGAATATCCTGAGCGATATGAATAAATGCGGCGTCGCGCCAAATTTGGGAACTCTGAATGCCGTGCTGCATTCTCTCAGTTCGATGGGTAGCAACAGAAGCGCCAGAGAATTCCTTATGGGCCTTTTAAGCGAATTTAGAACCTTGGGAATCGAACCGTCTTTGGGTAGTTGGTATTACGTAATGATTACCTTTTATAAAGAAAGTGAGTTTTTTTTTTCTAACTATAACTATAAGATGGGGTAATAATGTGTATTTTTTCGATGTTTCAGGAAGCCCGCCTACTACTGTATTGTATGAAATTATGAACCAAATAAAGGACAAGGAGCATTCGATTAGGGATCTAAGCGATACGAATTTCTTTGTTACCGCCATGGATGTTTGCAGGAATCATTTAAACGACGTAGAATTGGCCAAAAGGATTAACGATTTATTGCATTACGGCGACAATTACAATTTGATTGGGGATTCCTTTAAAGAATCCATTTATTAGTAAGTATTTTAGTTATACTATTTTACTAATTTAAAGATGAATTAGACAATAAATCCCTTTTTGATGATATATATCCAGCGGAATTGCTTTTTTTTTATACAAATCTATCACCTTTCAGTCGTCATTACGTTATCCTGATGGTAGCGAACACGCCATTAGAAGAGTTCATGAGAGACATCTACGATTTGCTGGTGCCGAACATTTACATTCCGGAGCCGGGCGTGATGAACGAAATTCTGAAGCAAATCGAATTGAACGGCATCGTCGAGTACTTGCCGAAAATTTGGTCCGATATGGTCAGCTTCGATCACGCCAATCGGGAGAATTTGGTCGATTACGTGGTCGACATTATGATCGAAAATCCGCAGCCCGAGAATCCGAGTTTGACGGAACACTTTTCGAAGATCGCTTGGGATATTTACAAGAGGATTGAAGAACAGAACGTCCGTAAAATTGGTAAAATTAGGTAATTATGAAGATTGTGGATTGGTTTTGTTGTTACAGAGAATATTTCTGTTTCAGTGCAACTGGAGGAAAATACGGTAAGATGATGGCGCTCTTGTTGAGGAATAACGATTTTGAACAGGGCTGTAAAATCATGGAAAAACTTGACAAGGAGCATCAAACAATCCCTGGTGTTCCGAGATTAGAAGATTTAGAATTGTTTATTGATCATTGCATTGAAAATAAGATGCCCTCAAGAGCTATAGTAAGTTTTTTGTACGTCTAAATAATTTCAATTATTTATTTAATTTGTGTTTTAGGCGTGTATTCAATACTGTTCAGATAGTGGCTTTGCAGAATGCGGGGCATTGGCGTCAAAATTGAACGAGAAACTCACGCTTGACGAGTCACATTTACAAAAGCTATTCAAAATCGTCGGGGATCTCAAGCTAAGTGATAAAATTTCACAAGAACAAAATGAAAGTAAATAAGTTTTTGGAAATTAATATTAAAGATAAGTACAACAGTAGAAATAAATAAAAAATATTCTCTGTACGCGAATGTATCATACACAGTTCATTAATGAAGCAAGTGTGCTACTCAGTATTAATCAATAATACTTGTTTAAACTCATCTATTGATGCAGGAAGGTAAAAAAAGATCGAATGGCTTAACTTATCTATATTTATAAGAAGGTGCTATAGACAAAACAGTCCAATACATAAAATAGATGGCACCAGGGGGGTGGCACTTACTCTTGAAAATTTTGGAGAACGATTTGCAACGCCATCTATAGGGGCCCAACAACATTTTCTGTTGCCGAAGAGCATTGGCAGCTAAGTCAAATCTAAATAATGGAAAAGAAGAATTCCTAAACGAATTGTTATTGTTTACAGTACGCCATTACGCCATTATGACATTACGCGTAAACGTTTATTTTTATAAAGTAAGTAGTAAAATTGTTCTTAAATTAAAATGTATGTCATTTATGTATTATATATTATTATCCTTTATTTATTTTATTTTTATTATATATTTGAGTGTATTATTTAGTAACAGTTCAATATAAGTATACAGCAAATATATGTATTTTTAATTCCTAACTTCAATCTCACCTGCTACATTTAAATGTGTGAGAATTCCCGCCAATAAATGCTAAAATCTCATAGGTTCCTGTAATAGGTTTTGTTGGACCCCAATGGATGGCAGCACATTCAGACCAACCACTTTTTTGACAGAGTGTCCGGTCTATATGTGTATTTTGTCTATGGATGGCACAAATCACAAAAAAAAGATATTATGACTTAGAATATACCAATGACACGTTCGAAACTCTAACGTGAGAATTTAAATTGTCTCAACGAAAATTCTAAACTATTAACAAAATTTACAAGTTACAAACCTAGAATAAATTAAATATTTTTGGTTCGATTTTTTTATACACCTAAAACATAAGTATAGAATAAATAAAATACATCGGATATGAGCAAAAAGCGATAAAATGTTACTTGTAATATTTAAGTAGGTAGTAATAAAAATAGATTTTTCAACACCAAGCTCGCGATTATTATTAATATTATTAAGAGATACTGAAGCGAAATGGTAACGTGCACAGGTAACCAAACGGTGTAGAAATATTAGCGAGCATGATTCTTGCAGAACGGACGTCCTCCCTTGGCGAAGAAGCTCTGCCCTTCCAAATTTTTCTTGCACATCTACAACAAAATTTTTATTCAAGTTTTTTTGTGATTGTCTTATTGATTGAATACTTACAGTGCAATTGAAGCACTGACTGTGATAATTGTTGTTAAGAGCTTCTACCCAACGGTCTCCAGCCTCAATAGGGAATGCACAAGCGAAGCATTTCGTTGTAAACAGCTCGTTCCAATCTGAAATTTCAACACAAAATCGATTACGTTTCAACGAGTTTATTAATTAATTTCGAACTCACCAGCTTCGCAGTACGGACTGCCATCTTCCAAAAAGAACGAAGAATTCCCAAAGAGTTTTCCACAATACGAGCAACTGAAGCATTCCGGGTGGAAGTTTTTACCAATGGCCTTCAGGCAATCCTGCGAAATTAAGTTTCGTTTAGTACTCCAACTATTTCCCACATTGATACTGACCCCTTTGATTTTTCCTCCGCACTTGGAACAAGCCGGCGCAAGGTACTGCTCGAAGCAGTACTCGCAGTACAGCTGACCGTGCTCCTCGACGAACCCGACGTCTTGAAGGGGCCTCCTGCACGACTGAGTGGCGCAGATAAAGTGGCTGGGACACCAGATTTTCCCCAGAGCCGTTATGAAAGGTCCCCTACAACACGGCGACGGTAGTAACAAACATCAATCTGAATATCGTACACCTTCGAAATAATCTCGAAACTGTCGTGCATCAATTTTGAGAGTACTTCGATTTGCGCACAACGTAATTAGTCGAGTATTAAAACAATTTACCTAACTATTTCAGTGTTACATTTCCAACAAACCGGGGCAGTACCGGTGGTACTGGGCTTGTAATCAGCTGCGTCTGTTGTAACGCAATTGCGAATGGTTATTCTAGTGATTCCGTTTCCGTCAGCCACCTTATGCATCGATCGATCCTCCGGTTTGTCCGAGGAATCGCGGTAATCCGAATGAATACGATCGGACAGAATTTTGGTGGAAATATTGAATCTATTATGATCGGGTTTGAAGCCATCGTCGCTAGCGTAGGTTAAATGATCGGGTAAATCGAGTTTCTGGGGAGAGTCCGCGTAATAAATGGGTATAATGTTTTCGGAAGGATCGTTTCTGATTTTGTTGAAGTTTTTCTCCGTGTTACTGATGACGTGACTCAATTTGGGGCTCTGCGTGTCTGATAAGTGGACGCTCTTCAGCTTGGGGGTTAGATTCTTTATTTCATTTAGTATCTTTTCTCTGGTTTCCTTGATAGTTTCGGACAATTGGGTCGTTTTGCCGCTGGACGAGGAGTAAGATGAGTAATCCGATCGAGGACTGGAGCCTATCGAATCTAACTGGGGCGAGGTTCTTTGACATGGAATCGACACGTTTATTTGACTATACACGGGCACCGGAGGCGGTGGCGGTGGCTGATTCGGAATCTGCAAGCTAATTTCGTCCAATTCAACAAGGTTTTCGCTTTCCTTAGCGTGACACAACTCGTTTTCATGCTCTAGAATAAACAAAAACAACACCAACGTTAGAGCAAACTAAAAAAACAAGCGAAATTTAGATTAACATAAAAATCATGCTTAAAACACAAGAAACAACGCAAGTAAACTCCACACCAACTGTTCTCTACCTGACTTGCATATTGCAGCTACCGCACAGAGGAATCCTAGCTCCTCCGATAGCAGCGGGGTTTAAAATACCGCGGCCGCGTCTCGGAGCAATCCTGACGCCTCCGGTTTGACGTCCGCTGGTCGCACCTGCGTCGGGTTGGGAAGAAACAGAGGATACATTAGGTGTTTTAGGAGGTAAAACAGACTTTGCTGCGCTCGCGTTTAAGCCATGCTGGTGTGAAGCGGAAGCGGCGGGCCCGGACGGGGGTTGTGCCGTCGACTGGGACTGCATCTGCTGCTTGAGGCAGTCCTCGATCTTCGTGCAGCCGGATTTGAGAAAGGAGGAAGACATTCTTTGGGGGTCCGTAAGGCGACCCCTTGCGTTCGAGGCCTCTATGGACGGCACGTTTACGTCGGTAAACGGGTACTTTTTAGTACTGGTGACGTTTTTTTCGATTTGGACGTTCACTTGTCTTTGGGTGCGTTCGAATTCTTCTGTTACCGTTGTTTTTCTTTGAATTTGCGTCGAACCGTCGGCCGATCTTTCGACTGATTGGCTTTGGGACTTTTTCGATTGCTCCAAATGAGCTTGCCGCAACTGCTCTTGCATCGATGTGGACACAAACGTGTCTCCTTGCTGCTGGATGTTAGTTTCGGACTTTGCCGCTTCCAGAAATTCAGCTTGTTGATAGTTAAAACTCTGCTCTTGCGGGGGATAAGCGGGATAGTTCTGAGATTTAACGACAGACGTGTACATTTGGGGAGTCTCCCCTCGAGTAGCTTCGATATAGTCTCTTCTGGACTTATATTCTGGTATGTATTCTTTCAAGCTTTCTCTTGCTCTGTCGACTTTGATGCTAGCGGGATTCGGAAGCGATTGCGGTTCTTTTAGAGGATTTTCAGGGGGCCCTTGGGCCGGAGAAGTCGGTCTGATGTTACTTTTCGATTCGGGTAAAGGAGAAGGGCTGCGTTCTCTATTAGCAACAGGATTGGGGCTGGGGGATCTAGATACTGCCGGACTTTTGGGATCGAATAAGTTGCTATGTGTCGCTTCCATGTATTGAGGCACCAAATTAACTTGGTAGTACGGTAAGATAGCAGGGGGTTTGCTACCAATTCTGCTGGGAGTACTGGAGCCATGTCTAGGAGAGAAGGATTGGCTTGGTGGATGTTCTTCCACTACTGGTCTGAAGGTTGTAGAGGGGTTCTCTTCGGTTTCTATTTTTATAACGGGCGCTTTGACTTCTTGACGAGCAGAAGATTCTTGCTTTTGTCGTTCGATTCTCAATTCAGCTTGTCTTTTTTTCTCTAATAACAATAACTCTGATTCAGCCTCGGCCGACAGTTCAACTTGATACTGAGGCAATTGCGTCGGTTTGTGTAAAGCTGCTTGAGGCTGCGGTTTAATGGGAATCACCTCCTCGCTTTGCTTTATTGCTGGTTTTAGCGTTACCTTTTCCTCTCGGCGAGCAGTTTTCTTTTCTTCCTCTTTTTTCGTCAACTGCTTCTGCTTCTCGCTTCTGCTTTCTGTTATAGTTTCTGTTCTTACGCAAGTTGGTTGGTTTGTAACGCTGATTGTTGGGGTACAAGGAGGAGGAGATAGCACAGGAGATGAGGTCCTTACATCGACAGAAAATTGCGAAATATCCCCCTTGTTTTGAAACGAGCACGAAAAACCGTGGAACATCGGAGCTGTTTGCATTTTGTTCTGGTTTTCGTCCGCAATTGTTTGACTGCCAGGATTTTCTACGGTATGTTTTTGTACCGTAGTTGTTTGCACGATGTTACTTTCTTCTTGCTTTTGCACGGTTTCTTTCGTTACGCTGCTTTCTTCCAGCTTTTCCTCGCGTTGGATTTCCTCGGTGCTCTCGAAGTGTACCGAGGGATGGTAGTATCCAGGAGGCTGTGGTTGCTTTCTATGCATGCCAAATGATTCCGGCAAAACGTCCGGTCTTGTAGGTCTATGCAAATTGCTTTTTTGCTGCTTCACCTTTACTTCTTTGGTTTCGGCTTCGGTGGACATTTGTTCGATAAAAGGAGAGTAAGATCTCTCCGGTGCTGTAGTAAGAGCATCCAGCATCCTCAATTTGCCTTCCGGCTTCGGGAGGTCTTCTAGCAATTTATCAGCGGGTCCAAATTTCTTCCTGATTGGTGGTGCTGGCGCATCGCTTCCCTTCTCCGGCAGTATTGGCCTTTCGGGCGGGAAATAGGGCACTGTTTCTTCCGGCAACGGAACAGGATCAACGTTAGCAGAAGCCGGAGTGAAAGGCTCCGAAGGCGCTACAGACAGAGCGGTCGCTAATGAACTAGAAGAATGTTTCGTTGGAATGCAAGCGAAAGTATCTTTATCCGGAGACGTGGTTCGAATGGCTTGAGTCATAGGCGATTCCCATTTCAATGGTACTGGTAAGTCTCTGTGGTGTACAGGACACTCCGATGGTTTCGGGGTGAAATCGACGGAGGTTTTTAATTCGCAATTATCTTTTATGCCGCAGCATAAATCATCCGGTAAAGAACGCGGACAATGTTTTGCTAGTTCTGCAGGTTTAGCACGATGCTCGTCTATTCTCGGATAATCTCTCTCCTCTAACTGCATAGGCGTAACTCTAGTTTTGGAAATGTTCTCTACGAGAATTTGAGTGTTTAATGTTTCTGTTAGACTTTCTTTAACTTCCTCCGAGGTCCTGCCGCTGCGATATTCCGGCGGGACTTTGGGTACAAAATGGGCCATCCTGTTGATTTCTTCCACTTCGAAGCAATATTCCGTATCCTCCGATTCTTGTTCTTCTTTCAGTTTTCTCTTTTCGATGATTTTTTGCTCGATTTGCGACGGTGGTGGGTAAAACAAAGGGCAAGCAGTAGGAATTTCGGGATCGTTTTGAGGTGGAGGCCAAATTATATTTTCAGCAACCTGGACTAATTTTTAATCAAGCACAACACAACAAAGGGTTAACAAAGAGAAAAAAAGGAAGAAAAATTTGATTAGTAAATGTGAAAGCATCTAAATTGTATTAAGAACATACTATAAAATAGTATAACTCAGTTCTCGTGGAGTTAGGTTAGGGATATACTGGGTATCAAATTTAAGAAAGGATTGTTATTATTTTTAATAAAAACGTTAATCGTTTAAAATAAATGCTATAAATTTACTTACAATTAATTTACATGTTGTTAATTCAATAAAAAAATGCAGTAATTGTATAGGTAGAATTTTTCCTGTATATCTCAAGTTATTTATTATTATTTTAAACATTTTTTTTGTCTAGTTAGGGAACCGTATGTTTCAAATTTAGTATTCACAAATCATTGATAATAATAGAATTTAAATCAGTCTTTAACTTAGAAACGTAATTAATGGAAAGGCCTTTAAGGCCTAATTAATGCTCTATTTACCGATAAAAAGTGATATAACGCTGATTATTTATAGAAATAATAAATTCGACAACAATCGAGGACCTCTTCTTCAAAAATTGTACTTCTTTAACAACGCGAATTAACTATAAAAGGATGCGCAATACTTGAAAGCTGATGTTAGCTAAATTAATAACAACTAAATTTACTGTAGGACGAGGGAGAAGGGTCTGGGTTTCGAATTGTAGGAAAGGGCTGAAAAATACAAGAAATTCGATATAAATTCGCCGTTATACTATTTTATTTAAAAAGCCTCCTTTAGCATCTACTTATATGGTGATAGAAACAAGCGAAAATAGTGAGATTTAGTACTAGTCGAAGTACTTGTAATGTTAATTGGTACCTTTAAAGAGGCCACCAGCTGGTTTTTTGTGAGTAGGAAAACGTCCTAGGAAACAACAACAGTGTATTAGGATTAGTAAAATTAACGTTTCTATTTTTTTTCGCGAAACATTAAATTTACTATATCCATTAAAATAGAAATAATAGGTACACATAAGAAGAGATATCTACTAACAATACAGATATGAATAAGATGTAGGTATCTATACTAAAAACAATTTATAGAAATAAGTGTAATAATTGTTAAAAAATATTTAAAAAAATTACATACCTGATGATGGGCTGTACGCCGAAGGGGTGTACGAATGATTGAAAGAAGGCGCTGGTGCCGGAGCCACCGGCGACAGAGGGCCCGTCCTAGGCAAAGTGTTCTGCGGGGAAAGCGGCGCCCCGATGTGTGAAAAGGGTTTCGGTGCCGAAAAATTCGATGCCTAACAGAACATAAATTCGTATTAACGCATTGTCATTAACTAAAAACAGCAACTACAAAAATAAAAATGTAACACATGTATGGTAACTCATTATACAAAGAAATTTCGGTGAATTTCAGGCGTTATTGTAAAAAGGAAAACAAAGAAAAAATATCCATTGGCGTTATTTGTTAGCGTTGAATCTTACCTTGTTGATGTAATTGTTGAACGATAGAGGCGCAGAACTACTATATAAATTATTATTGCTAGTGTTAGATTTTGCTAAAATTGGCAATGAAGACAGCACATCAACATTCTCTTTAGTTTCCTCAGCCTAAAAGTTACCCAAAGTGTTTATTTCTCGTAGATTGCAATCCAGAATTATATCGAATTAATCAAGCCATAACCAGCTTTTTAATTTTATTCAGCCTCGATTGCATCCGCTTGTCTACTTAACTTCTTGCAAATCATAAATCATGCAGACATGACAGTACAGACGCAGTTAAAATAGAAAAAAGATTCACGATGCAAGAAAGGTAAAATTGAAACAAAGTTTTTGTTTAAATATTCTTTTGATTTTGATTTAATTACGCGAGTAAAGCAAAAACTTTGTTTGCATAGATGAAATTTGTGATGATGATTCGATAAAATAAATTGTTATAATTTACCGGATATGTTGGACCAGCTGAGTTAATTTTCGGCGATAGCGGTGACGGAGTCGGATAAGAATGACTGGATAAGGCTGAGGAAATCGCGTGAGCTGGAGCCTTGCCACCTCTGTAAATTAAATATTAAGTATTTTAACAAATAAAAATCAACAATTTTTGCTAATTAATTTGTAGGTAGGTACACTATTTATACAGTGCTTTAGGAATATGACGCTCCAGATAATGCTGTTATATGTTACTTACGGAGGAACTGTTATTGGTACCAAATTAGAGTTAGGCTGGTTCTTGAGGGCAGCACTTTTCGCGTGAACGTCGCAGTAGAGCTTGTTGTTGATGTTGTAGTACCTGAAATAGGTGAAACTTCGTTAGAACATCATGTTATTAAGTGAAGTACTTGATCACTTACCCAACGTTTTTCAATGAACTACCACAAGTTGAGCATTTGAAGCATTCCACGTGCAGATTTTTCTCCTTTATCCTTACGAAAACACCTCTGAAAAAAGCAGTTGCAGCCATTATTGAATTTGTATTCGTGCAAATCGTAGTCGATTCAAGATAGTCTGGTGGAAAGATTTTTAATATGTATGCAAATGCTACGAATTCACATCAGAATATCTTGAATTGATAAATGCTGTACATACAGAGGACTGACTAATCTAATATGCGGAACAACCATGCACACTTAGAGGAAAGAAATAATAATAACTATTGAGAACATGCAAAAAAGATAAAAGACTTAGATATTCTGTAGAGTCAAAATTGCTTCAGAGAAAACCTAATACATTACCAAAATATTTATAAATCTTATCAATACCCAACCTTAACCAATTTATTAAATAGGTAAATATTAAATATTAAATAGGTACTGTATTTTAGTTTTCAACTTAACAATTTTATTTATCTAATTCAATGTGTTGTCCAAAAACTAAGACAGTAATAAACATTCACAGAAACGACATTTCAAGGTACCACATAGTGCAGGAGACAAATTAACACAGAAAGAGTGCGGTAATTGATTCTAGAATTGATCCTTCATCAATCCACATCAATTCTATCAAAGTATAGTAAGTTTACAGTACAGCAGGAACAGCTGTAAACATTACTTGCGCGATCTATCATTGATAAATAAGCTGTATAAGCCATTGCGCAAGGCATTCTCAGGTCTACAGCTATTCTAGTTGGACCCTGAACAATTTATTGAACTTTTTTTGGCGCTCTTTCTGCGTTCCATCTAGTGCCCAACTTACACTATGACGCGTTCGCAATCGGAGCAAATTGTCGCACCCTCCGGCGGGGGCTTAGGGGTTACTCCTTGCTCGGATGTATCGACAGCGATCGTTCGTGTTTGTTCGATCGGGTTCGGTTTGGGGGTGGTGGATTTCCGACCACCGATCGCGTGGCTTTGAGTCGAATAAAAATCTGACCGAATAACTAAGGACAAAAAGAACGTTTTCACAAAAATTCTCCACTAGGTGAAAAAGTCGTTAGATCCTTCTCGTTCGCAAAAACCTCGATCATTTCGTGAAAAATTCGTTTCAATAGTTTCCTCCTCTGTCCTCTCGCAAAGCCGTCTTCAAACAATCAGTTAAACCACAATATTTCCGAATTATCAGTACATATTCTACACTTATTAAAATTGTGAATAAATTAAAATTTAGTTATTGGATGATGCGGAAATGTTTGTGGTTCGTACTGAAATAGCTGAAAAACAACGTTACTCACACAATGAGGCGCTCGCAATCCGCGCAAATATTTTGTCCGGGAGGCAACTGAGGAGTAGAAGGTTGTGGTCGAGTTTCAGGAGCCTGTACGTGCCTCAAACCTGCTATTCCGCTATTTGGCGTGGTCACTACACCTGATTCCGGCTCTGTGGTGGTTGAGAGTGAGTAAAGAGTGGTTAAGTGTAAGTAAAAGTTTGGTGGTAATTTGTTCTTTATGCAAATACGTATTGACTAAATTATTATAAAAAAATACATAGATCTACAAACATAAAATATTATCTTAATACCCTTTAATATGCTATTTATTATATTTAAATATGGGAATTCCAAAGAATTCTAATTGAAGAATTGAAAGTGACATTAAAAATGTTAATAATGTTTATTGATGCAATGAATTTGAGATTGGAGTAGGGTTGTCAAATAGACTTTTTTGAAACGTTGCGTTGGATATTCTGTAATTACAAAAGAAACTCTTTGAATATGCGATCAACTATGGTAATTGAAAATAGGAAAGAAGATTAAATCTGAGAAGAAAAAGATTATAATGAAGAAGAAAATTCATCTAATCTACATAGTATAGTTTTGCTAGTGCACATATTTGTAAAAATAAGACCAAACAGAAAATTGTAAGATATTTGATATTTAATTATAGATCAACGAACAAGCTGGTATGATCTAAAAAGCTTTGCATTAACTTAATGTATGAGTAAATTTATCTTTGCAGTACATTTCGTGAATGGGCACGTTCCGTATAAACAAGAACATGAGTGTGGAAGGAAATGTTTATTACCTACTAACTGAAATCAATATTTTTACATTATGTTCGTAGATCTATTTAAGGAGTAAAGAACTTATTCAAAAGTAAGTAGTGTCACCACCATACTCTTTTTGTTACAGTCTGTTTACATTGTTCAATACATAGTAGGTATCATTTAATTAATTGCAATTTAAAAGGAAAAAATATTCATATAAACAGGCTATAAAATATTGGTTTACATTCAAATCGAATGTAATAAAGTACATAAGGAAACTTAATGTGTTAAAGTTTCTTGGCTAGAAAACTAACATCGAACATTTATTATCGTTACCTTGGTCCTGATAATTTGGTTCGTTTTCAGCTTCCTTAAGTGCCCGTAGTACTTCGCTGTTAGAAGCGTCGTAGTTCCTTTCGTTTTTCTTGAAATTCACTCTGAAATGTTTCGTTAAATTTTAGCAATTATTATTTTATATCAATTAAAGCGTACCCTAAAGCTCCCGTAGAAAGAACCTCCGTTTGAGCCGAGAGCGTTTCAGCTATACTTTCCTCGGAGTACAGTTTCAACGGGCTGTTGTACTGCTTGTTGACGACTTTTGGTCCACCGTTTACTGCACCGTTTACCTGTCAAGAAATTAATTTAAATAATCGTTTAATAGAATTTAAAGAATGCAAAGAAAATTCCTTTGGAAACCTCGTATTGTTTACATTTATGAATAATTTCCACCGAAATTGCTTTTTGGCAAGGTGATTGGAAAACAAGAAAAAAACGCACGGTTTATTTGTTACCACAAAACACTTACATAACGAATTTTCTGGTGCCAAAATCAACTACGCAAATAGTTCTGTTTGTAGCCTATTGATTGAAACCATTCATATATTACAATATTTTTTGTCGTTTGCAGATACATTTTTAATTAAACCGATCGTTAAAAAATAACTCAAACTAACGCATCTAAAAATAACCGTTGGCGTAGATAACTTTATGTAATTAAAATTTTACCAATAATAATACTGCTTATTTTAACAAATGAAGCTTATTTTTATTAAAAAAACTGCGAAAATATACTGAAACTTACTTGAGGAGCAAACGGTTTAGCGGAGAGATTGTGTCCTGTTCCGACGCTTCCGAAATTATCAGTATGCTTCGCAGCCAAAGAAGTCCTTGTTACTGGATTGACATTGTTAATGTTACTACCAGGCGAATATATCGGGCCCGTGGGTGTAACTGATGGCTTCCAAGTAGAACCACCTCTGAAAAAATAACGTCGAAAGTTCAAAGGGTCGCAACGAAATTAGAATGATTGTTCATCAATTTGGGCAGCCGATCAATTATTCCGATAATAAATAGGTCGCTTGGAATTTTTTGCGATGAAGGTTTCTGGGTTGCCAGTTGTTGTTTGTTTGCCAGTGAAATAAATAGGTTGGAAACGCTCCTTATGAATGCTCCATTTCTTAAGCTTCAAGTCTAGGTACATTGCACGCCCAACTAGGTCTGGGTTACAAGTTACAGCAGAGGTGCATAATGTGTAGATATGCAAAATTAAAATAGCAGGTCTATTTTAAAAACTGTTCAATGGCAAATTTTCTTCTAATTTTATATATAAGAGGAAGATAAAATAAATTTTCGCGTCACATTTTCTGGTAGTGCAATCAGAATGTTAGGTATTTCTCATTGATGAATTTCAAGTAACAATGATTAATTATATCCATTTATGTACAATTTGGAATATTCATACGAATTTCTTCAAAAACAATATAGTTTTAACTATTTATTACAATATTTCATCGCCATTCTTACGCCAGGTACTCCGTTTATTATGAATAATACATTTATAACCTAGCAGCGGTTTTAACTTGGCAATAACTCAATTATTTTTAAATAGGGTTGGCGATAGTTTTGATGCGTTGGTAGAAATTGTGACAAATTTCAACAACAATCGCGAGTAAATCTTCCTCAAATGCGCTGTTTCCTTTTCATTATAACGAGTATTGAACTTACCTCTGTATAGTCAATTCAAAGGACGGTCCAGCTCTAACCACAACATCCTGTGCATCTTTGTGCCTGAGATTGTACACGTCTACGTTGTTGATTTTTACAACCGAATCGCCTGCGATGAGGCCCGCTCTTTCGGCTGGAGAGCCTCCATTTACCTGAAACCAAGAAAATTTATAAAATGGTTAATTCGGGGAAAATCGGTAAAATTTTAATAAAAGCACTGCTAAAGTTGTGATTTGGCAACGTTGAGCCTGACAAAATTGTGCTTTTTATTTGTCAAAATGACTAAATCAATTACAAAAACTTTACTACATTTACTCAAAGATTTTAAATCGACGGAATACGTTACGGAAATCGATTTTATTCAAAAGTGCATCAACGACAACCGATTTTCGTCCGAAGATATTATTATTGATTATTTTTTGAAATTGCGCCAGTGCGAAGAGTTCCTGGAGAAGGTCGCGAAAGATTTTATACATTTCCAGTGCCTCCGAAGGGTCAGCGAAGAGTACATCAAGATACTGATATTCTTCCTAGTTTTCGTATTAGACTCGAAAAATGCACAGGAAATCTTGGAGAACACCATGTTCTACACGACCTCGCTGTTGAATTATCTTTGCAGAGAAGAAAAATATCCCACCTTTGCGAAATGGGCCTCGCAGTATTTTGACAATCAATTCGTAATTAATAATATATTCACCCCGCTTTACAGTAGAGTTGAGGCTTTCAAAGCCATTGTAAGGTTAGTAATTTTTTAATCTCCCAAATAAACTGAACCAACAACCAATCCCCAATAGATTTATAGAACAAGAGGAACGGAAAAAAATACCCGTTAACAAATTAACCATACCGAAACCTTTCAACCTCTCCACCTCGTACATGTCGCCCCCGCCTCCCGCTAACACCCCCGACATGCGCAAGTCCAATGCGGACGTAAGAATCAAGGAGAGGAAAATCAAACACATAACGTACGAAGATATACAAAAGAAACTGCAGGAAGAGCACAAGAAGCACGTCATTAACGCCGCCAAGTTGCTCTCGCAAGTGAAAACCTTGAAAGTACCCAAATGCAAATTATCCAACACCACCACGGAAATCACCGAAAAATCCGTGGTGCAGACCAAGAAAGTCACCCCGACTAAAGTATATGCGACACTATTAATACTTAACCAACCATTTTTTCGAATCCTAATTCCAGTTACCGCCGAAAAAAGACGTAGAAGTGAAGCAAAACGTCGCCACAACTTTAAGAGACGCCGCGCGTCTAATCAAAGAGCAGGAAGAGGAAATAAACAGGATCCAGGATATTCTGAAAGGAGGCCAAGGCTCTATTCAATTAGAGGCCACGCTGGCCGAAGAAAGAAAGAGCAAAGAACTGAAAGAATGGCAAACCATACAGAAACGCCACCTGGAGGGTTTGATCACGTTCGAGGAAGCAGTGCTGGCGAAGAAAAAACTTTTGCAGGAGAACCGGGTGAAATTTTTAGAGGTGCAAGCAGAAAAAATCCATCTAAATCAGATGTTGGACGAGTTCAAGGAGAAAGAGTTCGAGAGGGCCAAAGCTCAGGTTAGTTGGAATTTTCAGTAATCGGTTAGCCATTAATTCGATTGTAGGTAGAGAGAACCCACAAAGAGAAAGAAGAGGCTAAAGAAATCGAGAAGAAGTATTTGGAAAAGAAAATAGAGGACGCGCGACTGATGGACTACGAAATAAAGGAAAAGCTGAAGCAGAAGGAAAAGGAAAAAGCCGCGGAATTGGCCTGCAAAATAGATCTCATCAGCCAATTGAAGAGCCTCCACGAGATTAACGTGAAAATGAACGAAGCCAAGTAACTAACATTCCGAATTTACTATAAACATTTAAGCGAAAGCGACAATTTCAGAAAAGAGTTTGATCCTACCGGAACTGCCAATCTGGGTTTACTTTGTGAAATGTCCATCGCGGAGCTTCGAGAGCGGCTCGCCGTTGAAAAGATGAAGATCTACGAGGATTTGGAGGAGAAACGCCGGAAGGTGCAGGTCCACAAGCGGCAACAGCAGGAGATGCTCAATCGCTATAAGGAATTCATCGACAACTCTAGAAAAAACTCGAAAATTGCTCTAGAACCGACGTCTAAGCCCGTAGAGTTGACCGAAAACGCCGAATTGGTGAACTTGAGGAAGGTATTGGAGCAGAAACGAAGCTTAAGGTCTTCTATGTAGATGGTATTATGTTTAAAAAAAGTTTATTTTTTGTATGAATTTGTTATTTCGTCCAGCACAACATTAATCAGTTTTATACATAGATTCATTGAGAGCGATCGCGCGCCGCGAGCGAAATAGATTCTCTCGCCTATGATAATTTTACTTGTATTACGCAAAAGTCTCTCAGCATCTCAATTACATTGAGCCGTGCCAAAAGCGCGTATGGCGTCAGAGATTTCGTCATATAACCCGATGTTTGCACGAAAACATCATAAATTGTACGCTCGTAAGAAAAAAAATTCACTTTCCATATCGCGGGACGTGGGCGTAGCCCAAAGGGGGCTCGAGGGTCCATCGATTTAACAATTAAAAACCTACAAAAACAATACATTTACAACAAAAAGAATTTAAAATCATGCAAGGGATATTTTCAGATAATTTCAGATCATATACGTCAGCTACTTCCTTGGTGTATGAATTTAACTGAGGGGAGTTTCAAAAAATATCAAGGCAATAGGCAATGCTTTTATATCCTATTATTGCATTTCCTTTCTAATAATTGTATTTGCTCGGGACTATATTTAGTGGGTTTGGAAGGAAATCCATGCGATAAACCGCAAGATCGAAGCCATTAAATCCTGACTCATGAAGCTCATAAGACGGCGACATTAGTCGCCTCTATAAGGTCTTAATAGATCTGTTAGTTTTGGCATTCCTAACCCAGATCTTCTTCGAATGGCGATTTATCAGCCGATAAAGCCTTAAAAGGCCGTTTCAATGGAAGCAGTCTCGTAAAATGCTAGGCTATTTAAATCGAGACCAATTGTGTAATAATAGCTTTTTTGGCGACGGACGATGATCGATTTAAGGTCTTCTAGGTAATTAATCGGAAAGCAAATTGCGCGTAATGTCATTAACAGTGCTATTTATATCGCGAAATATACACATTATTTTTTTATTCATTAAAACGTTTAAGCAAACTCTGCTAGATGATATGACTTCAATCGTTCGTTCTTGTGTGGTCAGAATGATAAACATTGCCACTTTCTAAATTATGTACACGATGATTAAAGCCTTATGCAAATATCTGACTAATGGATTTTCTTTTCTTCAATACGGCTTAAATCATCGGCGTTCTTTTTATTATTCAGGAATTGTTTTATTAGTGACATAAAGCGCGATACAATGAATAACAAAGCCATTTCGACTCTCTCATTGTACAGGGTGGCCAAATAAGGATGGCTCTCGGCCATATCTCGCAAACTAATTGTCTTGGAGACTTGCGGTAAAAAATTTCATGACTAAATCGGCCAAAAGAAAATGCTGGAAATAATTTTCAGGTCTCTAAAATGCCGCTAGGGGGAGTATCCGCCATCTTAATTTTTAAAAGTCGTTATTTTCAAAATTTTCCTAAATAAAGGTATCAAGAACGTGTTTTATTTTTATAGTTAAGATAATTTCGATTATTTTTTGTTATATATTTTTGACTCTATCTTTTAAAATAAAATGGTGGGGGTGGTTTGAATATTTTGACAAATAATTGTTAATAACTTTTAAACGGCTGAACCGATTTTCAAAAAAATAAAATTGTTGAAAAGGGCTTTTTTTGGTCTATAATTTACGCTATATAAGATATTATTTTAATTGCTTGCTTGGCCGCAAGATGGTGTTTTTCGACATTACTTCAAAAAACACCGATTTTCTCAAAAAATTTAAATGCAACGATATAACTTTTTCTTTGGAGAAAAATAGTCAAATAATTGCCAAAGAAGCCTGTGGAAACCGCATCTCGATATCCCCTTCCTAACCTAAAATATATCTAAAAAAAGAAAAAAATCAAGAAAATTGGTAATTTTTGGTGCACTACAAATATAAAAGCCTCTAATTATCGTTATTCCATCCACAAAAATAATCAATTTAATAATAATCTTCAAGTAAAATATTTAGAAACACCAAGCTAAGTAATATTCATTCAATAATTATTGGATTTCCCTTCTATTCGCACTAGTGAGAACAAACGAAATAACCATGCCGTGGAAAATGAAAAACCAAAAAATCTAACGACCTAGTCTCCAAAAATGAGCTGGGCATCCATCGGGTTGGAAATACATATTTCTTCGAGTTTCCAGACGAACATCTTCCAATAACCTAGGAATTCGTTACGTAGAAAATTTAGATATGTTTGTCCGTTGAGTCGCCCATTAATAAACCAGGGAACAACAACTGTCACCAAGTATACCATACCACACGTTGATACCAACGTCTTTAATTAATCTGGACCTGCTGCGTGCAGTTTTTTGTTTTTTTTTATTTTCCACGGCATGGTTTTTTCGTTTGTTCTCAACTAGTGCGAATAGAAGGGAAATCCAATAATTACTAAATGAATATTACTTAGCTTGGTGTTTCTAAATATTTTATTTGAAGATTATTATTAAATTGATTATTTTTGTGGATGGAATAACGATAATTAGAGGCTTTTATATTTGTAGTGCACTAAAAATTACCAATTTTCTTGATTTTTTTCTTTTTTAGATATATTTTAGGTTAGGAAGGGGATATCGAGATGCGGTTTTCACAGGCTTCTTTGGCAATTATTTGACTATTTTTCTCCAAAGAAAAAGTTATATCGTTGCATTTAAATTTTTGAGAAAATCGGTGTTTTTTAAAGTAATGTCGAAAAACGCCATCTTGCGGCCAAGCAAGCAATTAAAATAATATCTTATATAGCGTACATTATAGACCAAAAAAAGCCCTTTTCAACAATTTTATTTTTTTGAAAATCGGTTCAGCCGTTTAAAAGTTATTAACATTTATTTGTCAAAATATTCAAACCACCCCCACCATTTTATTTTAAAAGATAGAGTCAAAAATATATAACAAAAAATAATCGAAATTATCTTAACTATAAAAATAAAACACGTTCTTGATACCTTTATTTAGGAAAATTTTGAAAATAACGACTTTTAAAAATTAAGATGGCGGATACTCCCCCTAGCGGCCATTTTAGAGACCTGAAAATTATTTCCATCATTTTCTTTTGGCCGATTTAGTCATAAAATTTTTTACCGCAAGTCTCCAAGACAATTAGTTTGCGAGATATGGCCGAGAGCCATCCTTATTTGGCCACCCTGTACTTACCAATATCAGCTCAGATAACGAAATGCAGAACTAAATTGTTTCATACAGGGTGTTTCGGAAAACATTATTATTTCTATGGTTGATAAAGTATGTAATGAAAAATAAAAAAAAAACACTAAAAAATCCAACGGTTCTTAAAATGCCGGGTATTAAATTTATTTCAATATGCAGTTTTACTACTTTAATATGTTTTACTTATAGGTCATCCTGCATGATTATTTATATGTATTTGTACTTTTCTTGATATTAAATAAAAAAACGATTATTTTGCAACAATACGAGCCTATCAGTGCTTGCGAAATTTGATAAATGAATATAGGATAGCATAAGATAATGCGCCGATGGAAATAAAATTTCCTGCGACAAAAGAAAAAACTACTGGACAATTACTTACATATCGTATACGATAGCTTATCAGCAGCAATTTTATCAGCGGTTACTGCAACGTTTTTACGCGCTATTCAAGGTAAAAATATCGCTGACAAGCAGCCTACGTGTCAAAGTCTAGGTAAATTTTGTTTACAGAATTGCAGGAAGCCTTTGAATTTATAAAAAAAATATCACAAATCGAGTTCATCAGAGTATATAGGGTTAATTTGAGACCTCACATGGGGTTAAAATGTACCACAAATCCTAATTTAAAGTTGATAAGATACTAAATATATACTAAGTGACAAAAGTAAAAGAACACCAAAAATAGTTGTTGAAATTTAACCATTTATTCTAGTTACATGTATAAGAGAAAAATAAACAAATGATTAAAATTAATTCATCAAATTAACAACAAAACTTTAAAAAAAATTAATATTGTGTTGCACCGCCGTGGTGCTGTACACACTCTACAGTTTGAATGAAAAATAAAATTTGCTTCTTGGTGTTCTTTTACTTTTGTCACTCAGTATATATTAGTTGTTTGTCATTTCTTTTTTGTATTATCATCTCTGCAAATATTCCTGAAATTTGCGTTGTTAGTACCAAGAACACGCTTCTATGGAGGTTTTACGCCACTGATGCTGGCGCATAAGAAGTCCCTACCTGTTTGCAGCCAGTCGACTTGCATTATATTAAAACGATATTTGAAGGTAATTCAGTTTTGCCTCGTAGACGACAATATTGGAAATAAAAGCAAAAGGATGCGAGAAGAAGCGAAGCCGGCAGATTGTCGTCGTCGGTATGTTAAATATGCGATCACTTGAAAAATCAAAACATTCTTCGATGCATAATCGCTTTCGAGGAAGGTGATTCACCTGAAATTAGTTTCGAGGCGAAATGGGATTTCGGAAAATTCATTGGAATGAAGAAACCGCCAGGTAGAAGAGACCAGACGGCAAGAAGTTTGTAAACAATGGCGATAGTGTAAGAGGATCGACTAAATATTTAAATAATTTTCAAATAATTCGAATAGTTTCTACGAAAAAGTTATTGTAGAATTGGATTGTCTTTTATGAAGAACTAATACAATACATAAGAAACCAACTCAGAATTTTCAATCAAGACTCTGTGTAAAAATTTACTATTTTAGCTCTAACCAGTCTAAATAAACTCCTACAGAAAGATGAATGATGTACGCATAAAACACGATTCCCTTGAAATTCTAGCGCTGATTGCCACAAGATTTATATTTTATTTTCAATTTAGGTAACATGTACTGGGAAAATTAACACAAAGAATTCCTTGTTAGTTTTATTGCTCATTTTACATCGCGAGTTTATTTTTGTACAGTGATTACCACTTGTTTATAGATCGGTGAATCGTTAAAAATAATATTTCCTTTTTACGCGATGTCGGCTGTTACACGAGACGATTTGGTCATTTGCGATAAAAATTATGTTGTTTTGATCGCAATTATTCGAATTAGAGAATCGGGAGGTCAAGAGGCACCAATTTTTATTAA